GTGAAGGTGGTGGGGAGGGGTGGTTAAAGGAAAGGAGTTCATTGTTGTAAACTGGCAAGGGCTGTGGAGAAAGTGACCTTGAAGCATTCACAAACTTCTATGAAAATGATTGGGAAGTCATTGAGAAGTGTGAACACTCTAAGACTCTCTGCCTAACTACTGTGATAGCCCATAGCTCTAGAGATAATTACTAGCCCTGTGGTACTACTCTCTGATTGTAAAATTATATTTTCTTGAGTTAAACTTTTCTTGTTGCAATGCAAATCCTTTTAGAATTGTATGTGGTAGGTGTTCTGACATACACTGTCTACACATTTCATTTTTATGCATAAAATTATTAACCTGGCCTTAACACATGGTGATTATTTCTAAATGAGCACTTTTTCTCTGTTGTTAATGAGACTGGGCTTTTATGAAAGAACTATTGTATTCTATTGTCAAGAATGGTGTTCCCCTGTTTTTGGCAAGTATGTACCATAAACAGTTTTCACTTTCCACTGAGATTGTAGCACTGCAAATCCATTGACATGATTTAGCTCAGTATGATGAGAAATTGATAACATGCCTTTACTGTGCAGTAGAATTTGAGGCCTCAAGCAGTGTAGAAGAATTCACAAACTGTTGATCTTCTAAAAGAAATGCCTCTATCATTTATCCAGCTCACTATCATAATTTACAAAACAAGCAAATTTATTGGCGAGGTTCCTGGCATGTGTTGGTTGGAACTTGCAAGGCTCTACTCTGAGCAGCTTGAAAGCTAAATCTTCCATGATTTGGCCTGAAACCAACAAACACAAGCAGTATGTTTCAGCATTGCATTCAGGTCAGAAAGCCAACTCTCTCAAGCAAGGTCTATGCATTTCTTTTTCAGCAACTTCAGAGAGTACAATGTTTCATTCCCCAAACATCTTTCTCCCTAATAAACCCTTCACAACTGAACACCAGTTTGTATATTCTCCATACTGTTTTCTATACATTTTCTAAGGTGTGGGCAAGGAGAATTTGTTCAACAATCAAGAGCATCATTAGTTGGTGATCATTTTCTTTATTCTTGTGACCTCTAAGTGTGATTCAGGGGTGACTGAAGGAACAAATTAGATGTTAGTTACTCAGGGATCAAATGATTAATAATAATCTTAATTTTCATCATTAGTATGCTCTATTTTATATAAAAAATTTAAGAATGTATCTACATATATTGACAGCACAGCTACTGATAACATGTTTGACTCTGTATAACTCATGACTGTAATCAAGACAGTTTTGTACTTGTCACTGATACTTACCAGTGCATAAGATAATTTTTTCTTTTCCAAGGTATTTTATTGTCTCTGCAGTTTTTCTGAGGCATTCTTCTGAGAGGAAAGGGGGATCAGCCACAACTATATCAAAGGAGTGCTCAGTGACTGAAGCAGGGAAGTCCAATGGCTTCTTGTAGTCATAGAAAACAAAATCTTCACCAAATACAGAGAATCTTCCGTCATATTCGAAGACTTTTGCTTCACATCCCTCTGGTTTGATTTCAATTAGTTTTTTGTACAAAGTTGGTGAACAAAGGCAAGCTATTCTGGAATTCAACAAGGAAAATTAGAAGTAATTTTGAATTAGTATAGGTAGCAACATGATTTTGAGTGCAATTTGGCATTGATAAGCACAAGTAGATATTTTCAAAGACAGCAAAAGTGCACGAGCATGTAGGGCGTGTGAAAATTTCTAGTCTTTGAAAAATTTACAAGTGCATATTTCCACAAAATTGTATGAGAAATCATGTTGTTACTTGTTAATAATTTACATAAAAAACGCATCACAGAAAGTCAAGATGGACAAAATTTTGGCAGAACGTGGATGCTATTAGTAATTTGCACTTGTGTTACTCCTGCTACATGAAAAATGCACTTGTTTTTTATCAATAAGACAAGGCAATTTGTTCATGTATATTATTATTGTTATAACTGACATTAGCCTATAATTAGTGGTCCACTTAGACCCTTCTCCCTTCCTCATAGAAATAAACCACGAGCATTGTTATGTGTGTAGTCTTTGGGTATAAAATCTATATTTATTTGAAGGTCTCTACTATTCTGCTTTATATATTATAGGCTTTAAAACAAATAACTGGAAGGTGCACAGGGTATATTTGTCATTTCTGAGTAAAGTCAAAATACAAGTATTGAATTGCATTTGGCTCTTATCAGTTAATCTCTTGTCTGGTGGGGCATGCGACAGCCACATATATAAAGGTCAACATCCAGGTTTACCACCTACACAGGTTCATTTTCATATGTTCTTGGGAAAGACTCTTCTTTCTTAGAGAAAGGGCCTCTCTATACAAAAGTTGTGTTCTACTTACCTCCAATCTTTACAACCTAATTTTCCTCACCTGCCATTTTGTGATGCTCTTAGAGCTTCTTCTGCCAATATTGTGGCTGTTCTGTTGTCATACCAAAACTGACTCAATTGCTATGAGAGCAAAAAGCAAAATGAACAATGAACAAGACAAAAAGAACCACAAAACACAAATTGGTTTTTCATGGCCTTCAGAAATTTCCTTGCAAAAGCCTGATTGAGGAGCCCAGAAAAAAAAAGCAATTTGAATCATTTGCTTGATTGACAGACCCAGTCCTCGCTTATTTCCTGATTTTCTTGTGATGCTTCTGATTCCTGCCTTTGTTTCTCTTTAGCATAAAATTCCTGCAAAGCTGCCAGAGTATGAGCCGATAACTGAGGGATATCATCATCGCTTTCACTTCCAACTGGCTGATTTTGCTGAAATTAGACGTGAGAAAGAGGCCACCTTGAAATTAACATATTCAACATATGCAGAGTGCAGTCAATTTTGTGAATGCATGCAATTTAATAGTTTATGTTAAATGAAGTTTATCATTTTGGTAACGGAGTGATTGACGAGCAAGATCGGACAACCACAAGCGGAAGTCAATTTTACTGACACGATTTCTGACATAATTGGATGACACAAAGTCTTGTGACGAACCAATGATGCAAAAAGTCCAAACGTGCGAAGAGAAACCATATGAAAGATTCTGCTGAAGATTCTTCTGAGCACACGTGCTTTGATCGCCAAACTATGTCTGATCGGCTTGAGACCCAAAAATTGCAAATGAAACCTGCGAAGCGTAAACTAGTAGGGGCCGAAAAAAATTAAAAGGGTATTTGGGTCGATTCCGGTCTTGTAGGCCCTGGGTATTGTATGGGCGCCCATAAGTTTGTACTGTACCTTATTGTAGCATTCTTGTTCGTCATCCGCCATGTTGATAACGTGTAACCAGGCCTAATCTGTGAGCGGCCTCTAAGCTACTAATTAAAAATTAAAAGTTTCCATGACATCAACATACTAATTATTGTAGTGGTTTTGTATGCACACTTAAAGCCAGCCGCATCTCCCAAACAGCGAGACGCTGTGCTAGCTGTAAGGTGTTCAAGATGAATTATTGTGGATATGAAAATGGAATGTCCCATTAGCGGATGCTATCCTCGGACGAAGACGAAATGTCCAGCAACTTCGATCCTGCTGTGAAGACGCCGGTGAAGATTTTGCGCGAAACGCCGCTAAAGTACCAATCGAACGATCACATAAACAACCTGCAAGAGGAAAAAGAAAACTTCCTCAAGTTTGGTAAAATACCACGGTTCCAGTTCGCCGGCGCTGTGGACTGGCTAGGAACAAATAAGAAGAACAGTGAAATACGATTTGACTTTTTTCAAGAAGCGCGTTACATTTTGGAGCGCGTGAGGGATGTATACGGCGGCGGCGATGTATTTTTTGACGCAGCTTTTGGAGAAAAGATTTCTCTTAGCCAAGCGTCTCAGACTGTCTTACAGTATTTAAAATCACACGGTTTAGATGGTTCTCTGAGTGTATACTGGACAAGTGATTTGAACTGCAGTGGGAAGATGTTTTGGCAAGGACCCAATGTACGCTACAATCGACCCGAAGCACGGAAGTTTAGTTTGTGGCTCAAGAAAAGCAGCGAAAATGTTTATCTCCGAGAACTCGGAATTAAAAGTTTGATGGACCACGAAATTGGCACTCATTTTGTATCCTTTTTCGTCTTTCAAGATTTCATTTCCTGTAAACTTTAAAATCAATTTTAATCGTGTGATCAGAGATTCTGAAATATCATATAATATTTATTCTTCCGGAAAAACTGACCATGTAACTTGTTTAAATAGTGAATCACCTCCTGCAAAGGTTTTTCTTAATCAAAGTCACAAACGCTTCATATACTTCATCGCGAGAATCTGTTTCCATAGCACCTCTCGATCTGATCTTAAAAAATTCTCGTAATGTGAATGTTCCCTCGCAGATCTAGAATGTGTCACGAACTTAAAATTCATATATTTTGCGGTGGAAGCTCATGGCAGCTGAGTTTATTTGAGACTGGGGTTTCATTCATGAGACTGGGGTTTCATTCATGTTCCAATTGTCGTTAAGTCAATAGACTGATTTTGGGAAGAAAAAATTTTCGATCATTGTATCTTTGCGCACGTTTTATTTTGACTCTTAATTCGTAGCACAAGACCGGCGAACGATAAAATCTACTTGCATAACGAGATATCAATTTACTTTTCCTTTGTTTACATAAACTTCTGTTGTTTATGTAGCTGTCAGTCTTTTAGACAACAGGGTACAGTAGAAACATGATGTAAACGTGATGAAGAATTTTCTCGTCACCTCAACCTTAAACTTACGTTACATAATCGAGAGTAACTTGAGGACTAAGTCGTCCGGTTGCTTTCCTGTCCATAAACACAAATGGAAGTATGGCGTACTGTACATGATCAAGTATTGTACAGAGAATTGGTTCGCTATTTCAGCTTTTAGTTAGCGTACTGTAGAATTCACGACTTCTACCGATGATTATTTACATTGGCTAATGGTAATTTCGATTGTTATGAACAGCCTTTGACACTCTTGGGTGATTGATGCATTGTGTACCATCGTAATTGGCTTTATAAGCTACTGGTGGCAGATTAATTAATCTAATCACTTATTTATAAAACAACTAAACGTTGCGAAGTTGGCTTCCCTCATAAACTCGTCGAGGGAAGTAAACTTGATTTTACAGTGCATTTTTGACCCAGAAGAGAAGGTGCCAAAAAGACATGACATCTAAGATGAACAGGTTCAATTAGGTGAAAAACTTAAGGCTGAGAACAGTTTGTGTAGAGTCCAAACTTATTTATCCAGAAATGCACATCAAGAAATTGCGAATGTTAACGCAAGAAACACCTTCGCAATTCCTTGTTATGTACTTTTTCCCTCCCACAAACAGTCACAGCCTTTCCTACCAGAAGGTCATCCCTTTCCTAGCTGATTTTCCTTAACTCTTCAATCTCGCGTTTCAGCTCAGGGCCACAAATGATGGTTTGCAGCCGTGGTACTCAAACAGGAAGAAATTCGACCTTCGTTCTCCTAGGTCTTACACTGGCAGAGTCAACGAAGAAGGTCTGGCAGCGATCAATACCATTTATCAGGCGCAAGTTAAGATGCTATTTCTGCCAGCGTTACTCTACTGTAAGTATCTATCTTAACCCTTTACTCCCTAGCATCAATTTGCATATTCTCTATACTGTTCCCTATACATTTACTAAAGGATTTGACAAGGAGAATTTGTTTAACAATCGGGGGTGATAATGTAAGGAGAAATTAGATGCTTGTCGCGTGTTCAGTATCATCATAACAAACTTCTTAGTCGCACCACTCTTTCGACACATCGTTTCAGACACAGCATGTATGTCGACTGAAATGTCCTTCAAGGAGCTGTTTGAGCATCTAGCGATGTACATATACGACCCAGAGCAGCGATGGAAGCAGGTGGTACGGGCCAAGAGGTGTCTCTCCAATTGCAGCGACATTGGAGGCTGTGGATATGATCAGTGCTATTTTGAAGGTATATTTAAATACTGAAGTAGGCGTAAAAACTAGACTGCTTTAGGTTCTTCTTGCCAAACTCAACTGAATTACAAAAAACATAAGATTCATCGATTTCTGAAAAAAGGAAACATCAAAGAAATTCTGACAAAATAATAGTAATGAAAGAGAAAAGATTCAACGTCTTTAAAAAAAAGAAAGAAAACCTTTGTGCAGGTGGTGGGCGTATGTAGTGGATGAAATAATACAAGATGGCGTTAAATGCTGTCCTTCCTCTCGCCCCTTCTTCCCTGTTTTTTGCTTTGACTTGTGATTTTTAATTCACTCTCCTTACCATTTCAGGAGCTGTGACTATTTTGCGTCAAGTGAACGATATCGATTTCAAACTGATGTATGCCGGAAAAATCTGTTGCGACGAACTGCAGAGGATCAAGCGCATTGCTCGACAGGGCTGTGTTAAACTACCTCACTTCCTAAAAGACATAGTAGCCTACAAGAAAACACTGAACGAAATTGCTCTAACGAATGGACTCATACAGAAAATTAACAGACCTTTATTCTGCCGAAATAACTCTCGACCTAAAGTGCGCAAAAAGAAATCTCTAGTTTCACCGCAAGATCGAGTCCAGTCTAGAATTTTTAGTTGTCCTAAATCAAGATCGCAAAGTGGTCCGCTTTCAACAACTCTTCCAACTAGGATTTTGCCTCGGCGTTCTGACATGTATAGAAGGCTGTGTACTAGCGTGGCTTCTTTCGCACCTCTGTCATCTTAACCCTTTACACCCGAACATCAGTATGCATATTCTCTATACTGTTCTCCACACGTTTTTTAACTTGCTGACAAGGAGAACTTGTTTAACAATCGAGAGCTTCTTAAGTTGGTGATTATTTCCTTTATTCTCGTGACCTTAGTGTGTGACTTAGGGGTGTTAATGTAGGGAGAAATTAGATGTGAGTCACTCTTAGGGGTTAAAGGGTTAAGAGAAGAAGAATAATAGAGTTTGCATTGTTTTAAATTGGTTACAGTGTTTGAGTCTGGTTGGAATTCATTCAAGATGTGCGTGTTAATTCTAGAGTGGAAAGAAATAAGAACTGGTATTGCTGTACATGTTAGCAATTTTTATTAAAAGAAACAATAATATTTTTTCTTACATTGATTTATATTGAAGAAGCGACGCTTCTCCTTGTTATCACGTCCTGAAAAAGCCTTTACCCCAAAAATTCCATTACATTTTAATGATTGGCTTATTCCTGACAGTGTCAACTTGTTACAAGAGATCATTAGTTTACTCAACTCCAAACCATAGAGAAAACTTATCGCACCTACTGGGGGGGAGTTAGTGATGCATGCTTTGTGCATTCCGGTATTATAGCATTTCAATCCAGTACTGTTTCGACAAGAAATTTTCTAGACTTCCTTACAACTTTCATTTCTTAATGATCTTTTTCTGGGTTAAAAAAAGCTCGAGTTTAAACCTAAGTAGATACAAATTTATCTCAACTGAGAATTCCCGTTCTTAGATCCAGGGGTCCTTCCCGCCTGGCTAATCTTTATCTTCCAGAGGAACCTTGAGCTTAGTTTGCGTTAACCGAGTTTACCGCAAAACGATGTCTGATAGATGTTTCACCGTTATCAGAAATAGCGTATCTTCTGATAAATATTAGGAAATCTTGCAAATTAGAGTAGCGGCATTCTGGAGTTTTACTTAGGCCAGTTTTTTAGCCGCGGTGATCTGGGTCACATAATGCTTGCGCCGGTTAGCCAGCGGAGTTAGCCCATAGAGTTGAAATCCATCATGGGCGCCGGAATCTCACGAGTCACTCGCCTCGTGAGAAAACCCTTGGAAACTCACAGAAGAGTGGAGAAAATACTGGAAAAGAAACCAAAGCCTGCGCCAAAACACCCTAGTTCAGAAGCTGCAATAGCTAATGCACAAAAACGTGAGTATTCTGAGAGAAAGTGTGGGGTGATTGCAAAACATTCCTAAATCTCGACCTTTAACGGCATGAAAGTTTGATGTTGATGTGTGAATGTACAATTGTACAGTTCTGACTTACCAAGGATGTACTCGTGTCATCGGCATATTAAGAGATTTAAAACGCAATGTGATGCAGATTCAGTTTTGAAAGTTCAGTTAACACACCATGTTACATCAATTCGTGTTATATCTAGTCTCAATATTTGCAAGTTCAACAGAGTTTTAACAAATATTGTCAAATCAACTTCCTCACGGAGATTTTTCGAAAACATTCAGGTGGGAAAATAATTCTGAAACAGAGATTTAGCTCTTTTCATATTTAAATCAAATAATGCAATCAACTCCTTCTAAGGTGAATCATTAGAGGAACAGTATCTTGCGATTGCGTCCATCCTACGAAAGAGTCTGGATACCTGAAATCTGAAGATCCAATCTGTAGAGAATGGCAGAAATCAACTAGATCTTACTCATGCAAAGCCATTTTGACTCTAAGTGTAGCAAGCTTTTAAGACTAAACTCATTCAGGCATTTGTTGTTCTCTGCAGATTGAATGGTAGTTTTTGACTTTAAAACATATCCCTCACCCCTATTCCTCTTCTTATCACTCACTTCATCCCAATGTCTTCCCTTAAACTGAAAATCACAGGATTAAACCCATGTAATCCAGTGTCCTTCAAGATGGACATATCAAAAAATTACAAAATCAACACAATCTTCTTTTTTTTTTCTTTTGGAGGGGGAAAGGGGGAGAGATCTTGTAAAAAGGGAGAAGCATAGAGCATGGTTTGTTGACTTCTGTACAATCCTGTTACTGGAGTAAAAGTTAATGTGATCTGCTCCTTAAAAGTCTGGCTGTATTAAGAAAATCCTGTTTCTGTTTCACAGAAACAATCCACATTTTATGCTCCTGTTTAGCTGGGTAGTGTTGAAAATTAAGTGTATTAATCCAGGGGTTTCATAGAAACTGGTTACTAGCAGTCTTTTGCCTCCTATGAGACCTCTTACCACAGTCTGTTTAGCTTGTGAGCAAGCTCTCTTTTTTGAGTTTTACCTAACAGCTCCTTTTACGAGAAGCCATCTATTACACTTTCTGCAGTAGCTAATAGAAAAAGTTCTTTAAACGTCCTGATAAATCAGTGTTGGTCTCTAGATAATGAGGAGCTGTTTAAAGAAAGAGACAGAAAAGATGACATCCTTCTAGGCAGACTGAGAGATTTCAAAATAATGGATGCTCAGGAAGGGAAGGTATGAAATTGGAGAGAATGTGTTAACCCTTAAACTCCCATGAGTGACCAAGACAGAATTTCTCCTTACAATATCTATACAATATCAACCAAAGAAGTGATGAGAATGAAGAAAATATAAATTTGGGGACAATTAGTTGATCCAATTCTAAATTCTCTGAACTAACATTATAAGAATTGTAGGGTTGACATTAAGGAGAGTTACAAATTTGATCTAGGAGTTAAAGGGTTAATTCAAGATTGGTCTGTACCAACACCCATAGACTTTCATAGGTAGAGAAGAGTATTAAGTATCATCAGTATCAATTTTGATAACTTGTTCCTGTTAGAACTGTGTGTTTCTGTCATAACATCATTTATAACCTGATCTCTTTGGAGAAAGAAAGAGGACCATGGTAATAACTCTGTGGTACTTTAATATTTATTTTTTTATTAGTTTTTTTCTTAATCATTTGTGATGTGACCACAATTTCCTTTGCCCTCAGCAGGGTACAGAGGAAGAAAGTTTTATAACATTTCACTAGTTTTTAGGGAGATGATGTAGGATGATTGAAATTTTTGTAGAAGTGGAGTATTAAGATTGACTTGAGAATTTGCTGGAAATTTAAGAGTAGACTGGTGGATACAGCTGGCAGTCTAAACAGTGAACATACAGTTTGGCAAGTCTAAGTTCAGAACATAGACAATAGCCAGTTTTGAATTACAATCTCTTGATTCACCATGGATGTATTAATCGGATTAATAGATGGAACTGTAAAGACAAACATTTTTTTCACTGCTGTGTAAGATAGAAAGTTTAAGGCAAATATCATAACAAAGGACTCCTACAATACTGCGAAATACAGAGTGACACCTATCAATTTGCCCTTTGTCTGGTATTCATCATGTGAATGCTAACTTCCCACCTGTAAGTCTCTGATGGACCAATCCAATCACTCTAACCAATCACTCTTGGCGCCTGTTTTAGCCAATCAGTGGAGAGCAGGAGACAAACAGAAAATTACCTATATCCCGCGAGTCGTCGATGTCCCGTCAGGTGGGCGTGGTGCCGAAAGGGAAAATAACCTCAGTCCAATTATCAGAACTTTTTGCGAAGAGATTAGAGGATCCTGACGAGTGGACCAAATACAAACTTGCGGAGCATTATAAGTTAGACAAGGAAGCTTTATCGTCAGTTTTAAAGTACTATAGTGACTATACAGTGGTGGCCAAAGCAGAACTACCCAGGCCATTAAATCCGTCAGTTCTTGGTTGACACAAATGTCTCTGGTGCGATCATTGAAGATGATTGATTTTGTACGTCAGGGAAATATCTTATGGGGTTAATTTAGTTGTTTTCGGCAGTCACGCTTTTCGACAGTCACGCTTTTCCCAGTTCCTTAAAAAAAGAGAGGTTCGTTTACGGACAGTATCCATCAATTTAAATTCAATGTACTTTCTGGTGAAATCTGTTTGACCACTTATTTTTTCGCGTCAATTCTGAGAAAACAGGAGACAGAAAAGCGACCGTCTTGCGCGGGATTGCGGTCAAGATTTTACGTGTAATAATTTCGTAAGCTCATCTTCAACTATCTGCCATAATTTGACATTGGTACGGCCACAAGAATTTGAAAGCGATTTCAGAGTCCTGCGGTTGATGCTGGTGGGATAATGTTTAAATTCATGTGAGATTTCCTGTTTTTCGCGTACGAATATAATGATAGTTGCAAACAAACTGTGAAAAGAAAAATAAAGTACCACATAAAATTAAATCATCGATGTATTCTTGGTTTTCTTTAAGCAAGACCCCTAATGAAAATCGATTAACCAAACCCTTTCAACCTTACGAGTGACCAGTATCTCATTTCTCCTTACAGAAATACTGCTGAATCATTCATTAACCCTTTACACCCTCATATCAGTATGCATATTCTCCATAGTGTTTTCTATACCTTACCTAAGGTGCTGACAAGGAGAATTTGTTTAACAATCAAGAGCTTCTCTGTTTGGTGATCATTTCCTTTTTTCTCATGACCTCACTGTGTGATGCAGGGGTTATACTGTTGGGAGAAATTAGATGCTAATCACTCTGGGGTTAAAGGGTTAAGATCATGAAAATGAAGGACATGATCGCAAACATAGAAAGCTTTGATTGTTAAACGAATTCTCCTTGTTAGTATCAAATGAAATGTAGAGAGAGGAGTGGGGAGAATACGGATACTGATATTTGTTTAAATAACACCTGAAACATTGTCATAAACACGAAAGATAATGCCACCAATCTTATGTCCCATCCGCACCAGTAAAAGAGGTTTGGTTGAACCAATTTTAACTAGATGAAAACTGAAAGACTAGATTTTACACGGCACTAAGTAATAGCTAACTTTATTTGCATTGAGCTAAATTTGAAGTCCCAAACATCATTTTAAGCAGATTCTATCATCAAGAAAACAATTTCAAGTCACATTTGACAAATAGATAACCAATCTAACCAGCACTCGTCTTGTGCGTGGAAGAATTTTTTTTCAGTAATTTCAAACATTCTGTTTACTCTGGAAGATAATAACTTGGAGGAAATCCTCAGCGTCCGCTTATCCGGATTATTGCCTTATTGCGATCAATTTTCTGTTAAACAATTAGCAGAATGAAATCCTAGCCGATTTGTGGTTTACAGTGATTAACGGTTCGATAAGAAGGGAATTTTTTGTGGATTAAAGGTTCCATTGATGTTATATTGTAGCGATTAAAAAGCAAACAATATTAATCCGCGCCTTTGGCTTGTACACAAATATTTTCTTGTATTCTAGATTGTTCCTCAAAATATCGGCGAAGGAAGTCTGCTAAATTCAGTTTTGGGTCGGATTTTACCCAGGATATGTGTTTCTGTGCAAGTAGAGAAGGAGTAAGCTTGTGGAAAAACCATTTAAGTGAATCTTGTTCTCAGCCCTATCATTAATAAGGTATTCTTACCATAGCAGATTGAAAAAAAGGGTTAATACTCTTATTAGCCTCTAGATAAATATTTTCACGGAATTTTAATGCTGATATTCGTAATTAAGCAACTATGGTTGTCAATCATTCTGTCGTGTCTCCGCGACCTTCGTGTCTCGAATATTTTCATCAATATTTCAAACTGAAGTTGAAGATAATTGAAAACGTGATGCTCTGCATTGAAGAACTCAATTTCAAAACATACCAAGCGAAGTTGACATGGCTGATATTAGCAACTCGATCAGGAATTATGTCTGTTCAATTAAAGTCTTCGTTATGAGATTCGACTTGATGAGCATTTCCAGAATTTGTTCTTCCTTCCTTGGATGAGTTTGCCATCTGTTAAGGTCCACGGGTCCTTCTGTTTACGAAAAAGAAATGAACTTAGTTCAAACACTGTTGACAAATAAAATGGTAGGTTCACACGTCATCTTAGCCATGGCAAGTTATAACCCCAACATAGGAGACTTACAGTGTCTGCTAATTGCAGTCATTTCCCTAATTATACTGAATGATGATAATAATAATTATGATAAAATAATCTATTGTCTTATATCAAACGCACGCTTGTGGAGTAACTGTTCATTATTATTATTATTATTATTATTATTATTATTATTATTACATCATTATTGTATAATCAATAGTGTTCATCGATATTGTGCATGTCTCGAAAGCTTTGAAAACGCAGACGCTTCAGTATTCTTAGGACGCTACATCCCGTAAAACATTTCCTTTTCACATGTTTCCTTCAAACCTTCAGTGATATATTAAAAGAAATAGATATTGAAAGGAGTATGTCTCCACTTTTTGTCGAAATAACCCTCCTTTGGATTTAACGAATGCTAAAATAGGGATATCCCTCGTTGTAAGAAGCTTTAAAGATTATTTTTCTTGTTTTATATCTGTCATTGCCCAAGCCATGATTATATGATGCTTTTTTTTGGTGTTGTTTCTTTGTTTTGAGTCACTCGAGAACAGAATGAGTACATAGGTTTTCATGTGTCTTGGATGATTTAGGGGAAATTGTGTGCTCTCATCAAAAAAGATTGGGCTCTAGCGTTACTTTGCCGGCGGGAACTGAGTATGAGGCCTTGAGCGACGGGAGCCAGCGAGTGTACCGTTGCACTTATGCGAGAGATCTGCAGGGGGTCTAGGACATAATTAGTGCCAGATCCTTGGCAAATCTCTCCCCGACTCGTCCCAAATCTTACCGTAGGCGGAAAAACGCACGTCCTGCGGATCTACTAGCAGGCTTCTTGGTGCGATTGCGTCAAAAGGTTTCAGCTTTGACTTGTTAATCTTGACAAATCATTGGAACAGCGAAGCATCCTCTGATAGGCCTTCACGTTAGGTCTATATGAACCTTTTTTCACGCCCCTGCGAAAAGGATCGAAATTCTCCCACCTGTAAAACTCGCGCGCTTCGTCAGCGTGGGAGCGCGTGGAAAATCATTACGTGTATGCTAAAAATGTATAAGCGCATTCATGTGTCATTACGTCGATTCCCTAAAACACTGAATATCAACCATCTTTAACCGCAATCCGCTTACATCCAATGCTCCCTTCAAATACTCACTCTAACCTATCCGCTTTCTTTTAATCTAGTAGTTTCTTAGCTAGTTTCTAGAAGTATTTAAGATTGTTGGGATTTGTGCCAGTTTTCAGACCATCGCAATTGCGATGAAAACCGGAAGAAAATTCAGCGAGGTTCGATTCACAGGAAGCTAAGCCAATTGAAGTCGGAGGAAGTTCGAGGGTTTTTTTGCTGAATCGCTTCCGCTCTTTGTCTTCAAAAAAACCAGTTTCTGGTTGAGATTGTGAGAGTACATCTTAAAATCAATATTTTTCGTTTCTGTTGCTAAAAAGTAGCGCTAAAACTGTGTTTGGTCTGAGTTTCGTTTTGGAGACGGTAGACCGTCACGAAGGTATCAACCTTAGAAAAACGTCCGAAAACCTTTTTGGCATAAAACTTTCTGTTATGAAACTCAGAACAGGATACATTTCTTCACTTCTTCTGTATCTTTAGTCTGTGGTTTGAGCATGTTCGCTTATTCAGATATCAATTTTCTTTAATTTTTTCAGAAAACTGCTCTGATTCCTTTCTGCAAGTTTGTGCGGCAGATCTTACAAAATCCAGTATGCATTTTCGAACCACATCAAAACCAGAAGCGGTGGAAAGGCGGAGTGTGTGGTTCCCTAACGTCTTTTAGAGATCTGAGACGATGTATGAAATATTGCTCCTTTAATGAGTTGGTATGAAAGTTTACCAAATAAGTTGTCGGTATGGAAACCGCAGGTGGGTTTTGAGAGAGTTCCACTGCCTATGGTTAGCGAGGTGTTCTACTTAATAATAGTGGCTCTCACCTCTACTACCACTTTCGAACAATTCATTATTAATGAATAAACTCAAGAAGGTTCTCATCCAGATTAAGAAGCCTAACAATTAACACATGTTAAAGGTTTTTCTGTGAGTTCGTAATATCTTTATTTAGCTGGTTCAGTGTTGCTAAAAAAATTCCAAGCCCCCGTGTCACAGTTATGGGTTGAAATGTCATTCACATGGCTAGTGGTTGATTGTCTAAAACGAATTTAAGTTAAAATGCCCAGATCTCTCTCGGTTTAGTCAAAGGAATCTTTGTGGCAAGTCACGAAATTTTATTGATAAATCAATGAGACTCCTAAACGAAAATTTTCAGTTAAATTGGGTTCTCTATTTTTTGTTCTGCGGTCATATTGACTAATCACCAAACCACGATGTCAATATAAGTAGTCAATATTAGCCCCAAGATCGAGGAAGTTTTAAGGGGGTACAGACAAAAGGAAACGGATTCCTTGCGATCCAGGAGCTTGAAACTCTTGAAAAACTGCAGAGCAACGTCCTGTGTTTGATAGCGTGGGATGTTTTGCTTGTTCGCACCATGCAACGTTTCTAAACACAGAAAATGTAATTTGTGATAATATTCATTGACGTAAACTCTTATTTTGCCGGCACATATCGGAGGGTTGAAGACGGGTGCAAGGCGCAGGGAGGGTTATGGGATCGTAGTTTGTATATTGCTGTTTTAGGGTGAGGAGGTTTCTAGGTTTCGCTTTCGTGTAAAATTATGATAGCAGCATTTTAATAGCGAAGAATAGATGTGATCGAAATGTTTTCATTACAAGTGTAGGTGAAAATGGCCTCTAATCCCCAGTATCTCAGACCTAGCACCTCCCCCTCATGGTGGATTTATGTATTAAGACTGTTTTTCGTTGAAGGGGGGGGGGTGCGGTGAGGCGCACAGGGATAAACATTGACATCACGTTGCTTTGAAGACCAAAAAAGCTCAACTGTTGTTGCAATTCCCTCTACCAATCTGTCATATGACATATGGTCCACTTCTTGCTTGTTGAATCAGTCAGTCAGTCTGTCGGTCAGCCAGTCAGTCAATCTAAAACAGAGGATTGAGATTGATGCAGTGTACCTTGTATGGCCAGTAAAACCATGAACTCATCAATGTTAGCTGACCCCCAACAACTTTGGTGTTGTAGAGATCTCATAATTGTTTTTTTGTCCAGTGTGCCACAAAGAGCGTGGCGCTGTATAGCAAATCTTAGAATGCCACAATACAAGTCAGTAACCCATCCAAAACAAACCCAAACAAAATGAGATAAACTGAAGCAATTCCTTTTCTCATAAATTTTATTTGCCCTTTCTTTTCTTTCTTGCTGCAAGGTACATGGGAAATTTTTTAAGAAACTCCAGAGGTATAAATTAAAACCTAAACAGACTCTTTAACAGGTACTGCAATAAAACTCTGATAACTTTGACTTCCTCCTTGAGAAATAACATTTATTTGTAACACAAGTCAAATACTTATGCCAGAGACAATGAACATCTTCCTTTCTGAACATTTTTCTTACATGATGACCTGCTAAAACAGCAAGGGAACGTTATATTCTTGTATATTGTCGTTTTTCTTTCTTGATTAAGATAGGTCTGCAATGCATTATAAAACTTTCTTTTAACTAATCTGACTTATCAAATAAATTCTAGCAGAGCAGCCTGAATGAATAAAAGAGCTTGACATAGTAAAAACCTCATAAACTGTAGTTTCTGCATGTTTCAGAATGCTTAGTACTGTTGATAACTTCTGTCCTAAACCCTTTAACTCTTAGAGGTGACTAAACTGTAACTTCTCCCAACAATATCCATACATTATCCAGCAAACAGGTGATGAAAATACCCTAACTTATCAGGTAAAAGTTATCTTGATCTAACACTAAATTCTTGTAGGCAATTAATTTACAGGAGAATGTGTAGCAGTTAGAGGAGAGAATTAACAATCAGATCTTGGGAGTTAAAGGGTTAACAGAATTTGGATAAACTTCAGTACTGTGAGTCACTAGTTTCATTGAAGAACTCTGATGATAGTGCACACAGTCAGTTAAATCTTCCTAGATAAGTCGTAAAAAGGAAAATTTTTTTGTAGTATCAAAATTGTATAATAGATAGTATGGATTCTTATTGCTAGCCAAGACTTAAAAAAAAGACAAAACAAAATAACATGTCTTTTTGAAGAAGGTATTGTTTCACCTGCTTATCAAAAAACATTGTGATCAGACCAAGATAGATTCACAAGAAAATAACCATGCTCCCTATGAAACCACAAAAACACCACTCACAACAAGTACCTGTGAACTGAATTATTGTACAGCTCAAATTAAGTTTCAAAAGAAACAAAAAACCCAAATAAGAAATAATCATTTAGTTACACATATACTGGTTCTTTAGAAGTGTCTGTGCCACTGTCATCTGACGAGTATCTCCTTGCAGCAGTATAGGTATTACCACCATCATCGAAAAACCTTCTGAATGTGAATTCATAAAATGCGTGTTCAGGATGTTTGCCCTGACGGGGTGCCACTGTTTCATTTGCAACTGAGGCTGCTCCTCCTTCATCACTGCTCATTCTCTCTGATTCCTCAACTGGATCAAAGTTTGATGTGTCAGTTGGAGAGGCAATCCGTGGGCGGTATGGAGCCTGCATGCGACGCACACCATAACTCCAGTCAACATGTGCAAAGAATGGATGATTCTTGATTTCTTCAATTCCATTCTTTCCAAGCCTCCTCTCTGGGCTTGTACACAGTCCCAGGATCAAGTCTTTAGCCTGAGGGCTGAGTTCAGCTTGCTTGGGGATGTGCAATGTTGTTTCCCAGTTGATGACCTGAAAAAAGGAAATGATATTCACATTACATGGGGAAATTAATTGCAATACTAAGGGAAGATACAATTATTTGTGGTAAACATAACTTTGCTTTGGTCCAGCCTCAAAACACAGCCATTTACAGAAAAGTTTAAACTCCTGATTATAGCAATTCACTTTTAAACATACTTCTGGCAACTTTTTGCGGGAGCAGAAGAAAATGAATCACAAAAATAAAGAATTTTGTGACAAGAAAAGACAAAGCAGACACATCACAAATGGTTGACATTTAATCAAAGGTTATCAAGAGATACTAAGAATAATGCCACATGAAAAATGTCAAGAACAAACATTTTAATGGACAATGAAATTGCCTCTCATTTTCCAGACGTTTTGAGGAATTCGCAATGAAGTGTGACAAATGCATTCGATACTGAACCAAGCTACCTCACTGTTGCTTTAGACATCATACAGATATTACTAACAGTACCTATTAATTTACAACTGAGTAAAGAGAAAAGCCCTATTCAATCAGTGAGACAGATAACAGTGTTCTCCCTTATTTTAAGCATGACAGGTAAAATAAATTTTCAAACCAGTAAAGCAATCCTTTTACTTGTTAAATTTTCAAGAATTCCAAGAAATTTAAACGGCATTAAGAGGTACTACAGGCAGTAAATGTTACCAGTTACTGCCTGAAAAGGAGAACACTGAATAATATGACTAAGTTATCACATGTCTATTTTGGTTACATTTATAAGCTTCTACTGTACCACTAAAAGGTTTTTACATCTTTCTCAAATAAGGATTTTGCCACCTACCTTCAGTTGAGTATCTGCTGGTGTGGAAGCCAGGAATGGAGGTTGTCCAACAAGCATCTCATACATTATTACTCCCACTGACCACCAATCACAAAGATGTGTGTAACCACTTCTCTGCAATACCTCTGGTGCGATGTAATTGGGTGTACCCACTAAAGAATGCGCAAGACTACGTTTGTGCTTGCGAAAATGCCGCCTCTCCAATGGCTTCATTTGTTGAAGTGACTTCTGAAGAAGCTGTTCATTTAAATCAGGAGAATATTCCATTTGGTCCCAGTACTGCATGCCATACTCCATGCTTTCCTGTCTTTTATGGCCATCCTTTTCCTCATAATACTTGCTGTCATGAGTCCAACGAAAGCCAGTGCAAAGCCCAAAGTCAGTCAGTTTAATATGACCATCATGATCAATCAACACATTGTCAGGTTTTATATCCCTGTGTACAAATCCCATGTTGTGCACTGACTCAATAGCCAGTACAAGTTCTGCAATGTAGAATCGTGCTAGATCCTCTGGAAATATTTCAAATTTGATCAAAAGGCTCATTAAATCTCCTCCTGGTATGTAGTCCATCACCAAATACAAGAATTTTTCATCTTGGAATGAATAGTACAATTTTACGACCCACTCATTGTCCGCCTCAGCAAGAATGTCTCTTTCAGCTTTGACATGTGCCATCTGATTGCGCTTATAAACCTCAGTCTTCCGCAGGATTTTCATGGCATACAACACATTTGTGTCTATTTTCCTTACAAGCCACACTTCTCCAAATGCACCAGTACCAATTTTACTTATCTTATCATACATAGTGATATCCATCTTTGATCGCTTCAGACGAGTGTAGTTTGTTTCTTTTTTCATTAGGATTTTTCGCATTTGATCTCTTGCATCATGAGAAAGTCCAACTTTATCCATCTCCTCTTCGAGCTGAACACGCCTCTTCTCCCTTTCCTTTGTGTTCTTCATTAAGTTTTCAAAGTGTTGTTCCAAGTAAAATTTAGTTGCAGTGGGAGAAACTGTCTTTAGTTTTGATTTCTCTTTGTATTGTCTATATCTCTGGCCGGGAGTCAGAGTCTCCATATCGGACTCTGACATTTGATCATCATCCTCATTGCAAGGAACTGAGGTCTCCATGTTTGGAATTGGAGGCCGTTTGGGTGAATCAAGACGATAAACAACTGTCCCAGTTACATTGGTAACCTTTGTTGGACCCTCCACAGTGAATGATGAGTCTGACAGAGGAGAAGGAGGTCCGCTGTCATTATAAGAACTAGACCATGGCATTTCATCACTTATCGAACCAGAGTTGGATGATGTTTCCGTATTCCAAGAGTGTCTCCACTGATCACAGGGAGGTGGTACTGGCGATCGTGATGACACACGTGGTACATGGTTCTGCCAGTTGCTTGACTCACCCATGCTTACATCAGAAGGCATCTGCCTCCTTGCAACTGGGGCATATGCAGGTGGGGGATGAAGAGTTGGGTCAAATGACTGAACAAAGTGTGGCACTGGAGTCTGCTGTGTGCTTGGTATGGGTGAGTTGGAGTTCAATGCATCACTGTGCGCACCCTGAACAACTGTTGGAGCAATATGTTGGGGCGTTGTTTGGTAAAATTGTCCTTGAGTGGATGACTGAATGTTCTCAGAGGAATTTTGTGCAAAATTGGTTTGGACATAAATGTTGAATGACATATTATTTGCACCATTTCCTGTAACATTTGGAACCGTTGAAGCCATCCGGCCTTGATACTCATCGGGAGCAGAGTTGTTTCCAGTTAACGTAAGGTTAGCCGTTACATGAAATTGTGGAGAAGGTACATTAGCCCCAACACCACTGACAAATTGTGGTTGACCCTGATTCATTCCTTGCATTGGTCGTGCTCCAACAACTGAGGTAGGTTTCCAACCAAGCTGCATTTTTGGGCCTGCTCGCTCAACAAATCTTTGCTGAGGAGCTGCTACCCGTGCACCACGCCAGTTTTGGACAAGTTGGCCAGGATTATTTGACCTTTGAACACACCATTCAGCCCTTGTAGCCTCTGGTGTTGACATCCCTGTACTTGCCTGTGCACATGGCATGGAAACTGTACTGTGTACCCTTTCTACAGCAATCATGGGTGATTCTGCTCTGGCTGTTTCTTCTTCTGAACCTTTCCAAGGACGGTTGACTGCTGCATTGTAAGGGGGAGGAAGTTGAGACCGACTGTTGGGTGTATTTGAACCAAAATTGACTCTGTTATAGCCCCTGGTTGATGCCAAAGTTTCAATCAGTTGCAATGCATCCTCCACTGTCCTATTTGCAGTCATCTTTATGGCTTCAGTGGCCATATCCTGGAATGATAAGTCAAAGTGTAACTATTGATATCTTGTCTAGAAATTTCATCTTCCCCCCCCCCCCCAAAAAAAAAATCCCGGTTTAGTAGAAATTGAAAACATGTGTTCACAATTCCCGCACTACTTCAATCAGTAGGTCAACATCCAACATTTTTCGGGATTTCAAAAATGTCGCGTAATCCGATATTCGATTATCGCATTTTTTGGCTGCTATTTTTAAGCTGAAACATTTATCAGTTTTCAGGCAAATGATAGTTCCAGGGTGCCTGTTTCCAGATGTTTCTTTAAATAGACATTCGATAGAAAGATATTACAATATTATTTTACATCGTTTCGCATGGTCGTCCACTTGTATCGGTTCTCTCGTGAATAGAAGGCATGAGTGCAACGACTGCTATTTAACACTACATGCTAAGAACTCAAAGCCAGAAGCTGAAAGAATCTGTTGGAACCAACCCTTTGACCCGCGCTTCCGGACAAACTTTGCAAAAAGGACACAACATTTGCCAAATCCAAATGCTTGAGATAATAAAGCAGTGCGGATATGTAACTTAACACGAAAAAGAACCGGCGATAAAAAAACACTGGCGGCCGAGCGGAAAATATGGCCTTCCCCTGAGATCTAAAAGCTCATTTACTAACTTATCACAATAAAATCGATGCCAAAGAGTACATCTGTTACTTTCCATCCGCGGGATATAAGGACAACGGTACCAGAAACAACAATAGTAAACCCTCTAGTGTAATTTATCAAGAAGTAAATATACGTGATATAGAGTGAATTTATCGTTATAAACCCGGGTTTTAAGGCCGAAGTAAATAAACACGAGGTACCCTATTCTACAACTATTGTGCGTTTGCAACACCTACAGAAAAGAAACGTCGACAAGAAGCAACGAACGAACCAAGATCATGGAAGTCTTTCAAACACAAAAAATGTAAGTTGTGATATAAATACAGTACCTCGTCCAAACCCATCGCTTTGAGTTGACCCATCAAATACTGTTTATTAAAGGCCTCTCCATTCTCAGAACATGAAGAATAACCAGATTCTGTAGCCTCGAAGGGTTTTAAACTGCTCCTTATTTCGGCTAAGGCTTTCGCATGACTCATTCCTCGCCGATTTGGGTTGTGTACAATCCTTGTAGCGTTTGCTTGAGTAGTTTGCTCGTGTACAACCGTTGTCGCCGCGTTCGAGCTCGGGGTTGCCGCTGCTTGTTGTGAAAGCCTCTGAGGTTGTTCAGGTTGCCTTTTTAAATGTTGTAAACTCTTCTTAATGTCCCGAAGCATTTGCTGGCTGTTCCCGACATAAGTCGTTCGCCGCGTTTGTTCTCCTTCCCGCATCGACATGTTCGTCGAAATTTGTGTATGTTTTTTAGTGTTTTCTTGATGATCGCAGATTCGCGAAGCGTTGAATAATCAAACCCGAGACAATGAAGCCTACAGGGAATGGTATAATCTGGATAGATCCAAAAATAAAATCTTGCTCGAACCCGACCCTTCAGTGATGAAATCACCTTCGTGGCTAACTCAAAGATTCTCAAATTCCATTGTTGAATATGTAAGATTACAGTTTCACATACAGCCACTTCGCAATAGGAATATTGACGTTGAGTTGTAATATGAAGACCCAGACGCGCTCCTGTCTATGAGAAAGACGCGAAAATAAAATAACAAAGGATCTTGGTTGACCTGACGATGAAACTGGTCTGTAAAAGCGAAGGATTCTTGCTCACGCAATTAGATATTTGACATTCCACGGAAGACCTCTAGGTATCACCTCACTTTGAAGTTATTACGGACCCAAAATACACTTCCGATCCGAGAGTGTAGAATTTTGAGAATCTGCTGCTTTTTCTTCTCTCCAACGCAGATTCTTAGCGATCCTGCACGACTCGGATAACCTATAAGAAGTATAGAAACGGTTAAGAGCCTTTGATAAGGACAGACAGATTAACTGCACAAAATTTATTGTTTGCTATGCGAAAGAATTGGGAGATGACATGTCCACCCCCTTAAACATAAAATTAACTTAATTGACACATAGCGATCGTGCCTTCTTGGGTTGTGCTTATGATTGGCTAGTGGTTACCATGGTGAACTGACGAGGTCCACAAGAGACAGCTGGGTTCTAAAGTATCAGTATCTCGTTTCAGACATTTGTGAAAACTTGATTACGGTTGTTTGCGTGTCGGCGCTTCGAATTCTTTCATTTAAATCTCCATGTTATCTGTTCATTGCTAGTGTTTACTGACTTAACAAGTGGAAACTTAAAAAAATTAAAGAATGCAGCCTGCATCAAGGATGCAAATCTCAATAGAAAATACTAGACGAAACCACGAATAGCGTCATAATGCGACATTCCAATATTGTGAATAATATCACAAATTTATTCACGCTATAACCGTGTGTTATGTTGCCCTCAAAAATATTTCGTTCTCTAAAGTCGTACGACTCATCGCAAGTTCAAAACTCCCCTAGTAACTGGTTAAATAGACTGTTTTGATCTCTAGTCTAATTCAGAGGGACGGGAAGTCAGAATTCACGGGAAACAACGTCTCAAAGAGTCCTAAGGGCTTCCGGTAGTTCTTAGAGCGCAGTTGTGAAAAAATTCTGGAGATACCCAAGTTTTGTGGCTTTCCGCGCTTCCGGCTGAGTATTACGGGAACTCAGAATTGATGAATGTTGACAAAAACTGTCTTCGACAACGCTAACTTGATTTAGTGCCATGAAGTCGCATCTTATGCTATATATGGTTAGGTTCTTGGACTGTGACATGAAGTAAAGCCAAATTCTCTGCACGAGCTAAAAGAAAAGTTCGCCTTTGGGTTACCACACATGGTGATCAAAAGAAAAATGACAATGTTCCCTAGTCACGCGACCATGAACCAAAACCACGTGTTAACCAAGTAATCTTTGCTTCCTTTAAATTCCTCAGACTCCGAAACCCTCTAAATCCAAACTCGGGGAAAACTTAACGCACAAGCAAACAAAACCCATTCTACCCCTCGCGAGTTTTCGCGCACCCTTCCACGCGACTTTCCAATCACACCCAATTCACCACATTCTAAATACAACTGCGTGAAGACCACGGGCGGCGTGTTTAAAAGTATAAATTTAGGAGCAAACAGGAGGACAATGAAAATTATTTTGTTTTTACCTGAGTTGGTTAAGAAGATTTTCTCTTGCCGTGCGTGTGACCCTATCCACGTCTTAAGCGACTGAGTGGCCAGCTTATATTTTGGGAATTGAAGTGTTCTTCTTAAGGATTATTCATCACTGTGTTAGACCCTTGCGATAACCTGTGGTATCTTGTAAACGCAAAAAGGCCATATAGAGTAGATTTTTGAGTGAACAGGAAGTCCGTATTGTCGCTGTGAAAGCGGGGAGTGTATTTGTTATAATCCTGCGTGGGTTGCGCGGTAAAACACCCGAATCGATTCGCAACAGTAGACATCGAAGTACACAATAAACAGGGCTGTAATAAATTGCTTTGTGAAATGAATTTAGTTCTAATACTGACGTCAAAAATTACAGTCATAGTCATACAAAAGCACTTTTTGTCGTGCGATATCAAATCGCTAAAACAAACGGATTGATGTAATTTCAATGTTGATATAGGTGTTTCAGGGCGTTTAAATTGAGGTTGACGTCATTCGTGCTTAAGAGTGCAAGATAACGGAATAATACACGTTACTGAAAGCAAAACAAAGCCTTTTTTTGATAGTTTTGCAAAGTGGGGGATGGTTGCACATGACCGATTTTCTTGGTCTCAAATCTGTCAGCTTCAACAGACTAAATAAAGCGGCATTTTTTAACCAAACAAAGTTTCATAATGATAGGCCGGAGCATTTTCTTCCCTCGAGGCGCTGCAATTTTTTGTAAAGCGGTACGTAGAGGATATTTTCGTCAACTTCTTGTGCAACAAGTGCTTAAGTTAGCATTTCTCATAGACATCTGGTAATATACAATTATTGCCGCTACCCGAACAGCCTTCACGCCCTCGCATCTTGCCCGGAAAGGGCATTTGATATTGCAAATCAAACCTAATACGGTCACTTCTGAGTTATAATCTGGTGCGTTTCTAACAAAGCAAATCTTATGTTAATTAGGAACGATTTCAGCAACAGGTAAAATTACTGACCCGTATGAAAACCCTATATCGAATGCATCACAGAGCAGAATAGTCGAAGTCTATTTTGGTTAACTAGCTTTGTAATAACATCCGCCTTCATTGCTTCGTTTACAAGTTTTGCTTAAAGCTAGATTCTTAATAGTCTTTTTTTTTTAATCTAAGATTAGCCACCTAAGAATTCACTAGTTCAATATCCATTGGTTGATACCGATTTATTTTCTCCCGTAAACTCTTTCCTAAAACCTTCGCTGTTTTTTCGACAGAACGTTTTTTAAATAACACATCGCCGAAACAAGTTTTGCAGATTGTTATGCTCCGAGTGTTTGATTTAGCGAGAAATTTTTCGGAATTTATTCTCAACGCTCAAAAAAAAAAAAGCTGAAGGAACCTTATTCACGACCCCAGGTCATATTATATACAGGTGCAAGAGTCTTGAGAACAAACTTCCAAAACATTTCTAATTATAGCAAATTGTTCTATTATATAATATGCATTTGGTCGAACAGCAGTGGGCGGTGTTATTTAGTCAACAACCCAGAACGCCTTTTCATCGTCAAATGATCATATGATAAAGAACAGTGCATTATATGAGTCGCTTCAGGGGTTGAAATCAAACAGTCAGTTACGCACTTGACCCGCTGAGGTTGATTTCCTCGAATTAGAAGCCGCATTCTCACAGAATAATCTCTCTTTAGAAGTGAGCTAAATTCCACATGTATCCTGCAATAACACTTTCGATATCAAAGCCACTTTGTTGTGTAAAGTTTTCTGACCGGGCTGCGTTCCCAAAAATTAGATATTCGAAAACTGACTAGAAAAACCCGAGATGCATGACTAATTGTAAGATTTCAGAAATAATTTTCAAGTTGAAGAGGGAGCAAGAATTTCCAAAGCGACCGTAAAAAAACGGCCGCGAACTTCCATCCATGATAAGCTCGTGTCCAGCTGTTGTTACATTTTTCTTCTGGAAACTTCTACTTGCTGGGTTAAAATAATAACAGTAAATCTATTAAATAATTTAAAGAATCGTGACCACTCTATAACTGCGCCTTGCATTTGAGAATGAATTCTAACTTTGAAAAATAATTCCTGGCCTCATTATCTCGGGTCAATTTTGAGAAATTTCCGTTCATATGTGTCCAGCCCGCTTAAAAAAGAAATTGCAATAATCGGCCATCTCACGGTGTCTCATGATCGGTAAATGTCTGACCCAAGAAACCAATAATAACTCCCCAGACAGAACAGTCAAACTTCTTTTTAGCTATTGAATAATTGCCCACTAACCAGAGGTTTCTATCAAAGCCAGCTACCAGCAGTATACCGCCATTTATACCTCTTAAGCAAGCGAACGGGCTCTGTTGTTTGGCATTCGCCTTCTACCTCTTTCCCGGGCGGAACCGCCTATATTACACCGTTGGCATCCATCGAAAAAGGAAAAAGTTTTTGAACCCTGTTACTAGCTTAATAATGAAATCATAAGCGATTTCGGGAATTTCAGCATTAGTTTGTTCAAGTGAGTTGTATAAAGCCGTCAGTTTGGTTAAAGTCAAATATAATTCAAACATATTCTTTGAGGCGATCGCTCGAGACGTTACGAAATAGAAATACTGTTTGATTGGTCACCTTGATCCATAGCTGAGAGATATTGAAACCGGCCTAATTTCCGTTTCAGACCTATTTACTTGATTGCTTAATAAGCGTATTTTGAAGCCGAAGAAAGATGTTCACAATGTTGCACTGAAGAGCATCTTCGCACTAGAATCGATTTCATCAACAAAGTTTTTCTCGCGACACAAGTGAAAAACAAAGCAACATGAATGCTTTTTTTATAAACTCCGAGTGGAATAAAATTGATTTAACTTTGTCATAGTTCTTCGAATCTTCCTGAAGACATGGAATTTTCACGAGTAGACAGCATGCAATCTGTATAATGTCTATGAGAAGATGCACGACTGTACTGAACTGATAAAGTGTTTAAAATAAGCTTATCTTTTTTTTTTACGATCCAATACAGTTTGTATATGACGTAAATGTCAACTTAAAGGCATGAGAAACTCAAAGTCCAAAGTTGAACTAAACGAAATGAATTTTAAGTGCTGATTTCAAAACAAAAATAACCTCTTGAAACACGAGGTTAAAAATCTCTAAGAATGGCTGTCATTCAAAATATTGATAATGTCTAACTTTGAGCCCTGAGGGAGTTTCGATACAGCTTTTTAGACGACGTTTATCTGCATCTAGAGTTTCTATTTTGATCCAGGAATTTCTGCAGCGAAAATGCAGTTTTAATTAATTTAAATAGTTTGCTCATGACATAACTGGACGTCTTGTAAACCACAGAATGTATATGCAAAAATGTGGATTTTTCGTTTCTTGCGCAGGATTAGTTAATCGAAAATTCATCTCTTGATGGACAAATTTCTACAATGTGAATTCATGCACGCGAAAGATAACTGATTTTCTAGTCAAGCACACCTCGCTGTTTTCTATCAACGTATTGAGAATAGTATACAGTTCAACCAAAACAAAATCGTCAGGTTTCTCGCAAAATTTCCAAACTAAATTCTGGTAAACATGTCAATAGAATTTAAAGAAAGATCGAAAAAGAAATTCTCCTCAGTACAGGCAAAAAGGAAATGGTAAGGAGCAAATGAGAACTATTTCTGTTAACTTTGAATTTCGTTTCAACCTGGCATTATGTTCTGTGTTGAATAACATACCTTTAGCTTCCTTGCTATGCATCAGAGGACTTTCAAAATTAACATCGCGTAAACGTTCTAATAAGTCCCCTTGGGGAGCCTCCATGGAGGCCCCTGGGGCTCATAAGTTTTCAGGGCTTCCAGGGGCCCTCAAATTAGGGCATGATAAAGTGGCTGTGAAGGGGGCTTTCAAAACTCATAAGCACTCATATGTGAGTCATCATTTCTGAATTGTCACTCGTCTTCTACAGATATAATTTATGGCGCGTATATGCTTTTTTAAACATGACGGAAACTATTAATACAGGTCTTCAAATACAAGTGTAGCCATTTGAACAGCATCGTAATTTAGGAAAGCAGGGAGAATTGAGAACAAGAAGGTCGTGGGTCTGTTATTTGAAACGGGGGATTGATAAAAAGCTAAGAGGCGGGCTTATTGGGCCCTTTATAGGCGTGCAAGATGCATTAGAATGTAAGTAAAAATGTAACATGCGTTACGAACGGCGGACAAGGAAAACGTTCTTTATGAATTTCCCCACCTCGACTGAAACCTCGCACCCGGCCCAGCAATTTTGTGTTTGGATGTTTACCAGATGAGCTGAGCTCACTGAAAACTTATTGGAGACTAAGACCATGTATTGTTGTGTTCATTCATGACTAGCTTTCAGCACGCATGTAGGGCTTAGCAAAGTTAAGTGTGGGTTTATAACTCGAGTTAGGAGAAGAATCATATGCATTTTTCAGTGACTCTGTCATCCATAAAACACATTTTTTCGTCAATTTGCGGCTTAATTAAACTAATATAAAATCTGTCATACTAGTTTCAAGCACTGACGTATTGAGACACCGGCGAAATGGTCCTCAGACTGGTGATATTCATCAAGACTGGCCAGCCAGACAAATCAATCACATATGGTTAATCGATATTTAGCTCAAAATATTTCATTCAGCAATAGCAATCTGCTGTTCATTAAAATCATTTTTAAAACCGTCTAGACTATAGCTATAGAACATTTGAATTAACAATGTTAAAAGAAAATCTAAACATCACTCCTTAGATTAGCAACATATCGATTTACATCTGACAGGCGTTATGAAGAATGCTTTTTGCATGGTTTATATATCATCTTGTTAATTAAGAGTGAAAAAAAAAATTAAAAATATGAGCAATCAAAAGGAGAAAAGGCTGGTGCTGGTGACTGATTTCCGACATTTTTTTTTTTTATCAGTGTTAAATACTGGGCGCATTGCGAAATACGTGCCCGGTTACGTAACAAATGGTTTTTGGAAGAACGTTTTTACTTTCAAAATGCAAACTTTGCACAGAGAATTCTGAAGACATGCTTCGACAAGTAGAAAATTTCTAATTTCGTCGTCTCGTCACTAATTAAATTACCCAAAATTTTGCTGCATGTGATATTTGGATATCAATTACGATGGAGGAACTTTTGAATCAAAGTATTAGAGACAGTACTTTTTTTTTCACCTCTTTCTTTAAGCTGTACATTCTCTCAGTAGTGTCTTCCTACCCAAATCCAAAACAAAAAGTTCTAACATGAAACCATGGTTGTCTTCATGTCTTTCAGGACAATATAGTAAAGCAGCTGAAAGCTTTACTTATTGAATGAATAAAGCGAAGGACAGAAATTCCTCATAAATTCCTTCCAGATTGTCATATAATCTGAAAGTTGAAAGAGCTCGAGACTTTGGGGAGCCTTTTAAAAGTTATTGTCAATTCAGATATCACTGAGATGTTTTTCTCAGCGACTGCAGTTACTTTAGACGTCAATATGAATGGAATTGTTTCAGATATCTTCAGTTATAGTAGCAGTGGCTTAAAATCATGGTCTTGCCGCATCGAGTTAATACTTGAATCTTAAAAATAAAACCAATAAATCCGGAAAATCTCTCTAGATGACCGACGATTGTTTTGTCTCGTGTTCATTACTTATGTATTTATTTCCAACCAACTTAGCTCAGTTTTTTTATGCCGCTTGTTAAACCCTCATCTATCCACCAATTTAAATCCCTCCGTTTAGAAATTAGTATTTAATCCTCTCCGAATACATTTTCGAAGTTTTATCAGGCATAGGCTTTGTGGTACATAGTAATCGTACTTACTTATTTTGAGGGAAGTCGTGCCAGTTTCCTCGCTGCAATTCGCGTTTATGGAAAAGGTTTCCGTGAAGTACCTTGTGGAATTCTACGAGAAATGGAAGGAGTTATTATATAATGCATTGCTAATTTAGACTAACTGGATCTTGGCCAGGATTACTTCATCCGGCACGGCTAATGTCCGCGTGAAACAAATTCCATGAATTTTTTAAAGAGAAATTCACAGTTGCTCCATGTAAAGAGAATAAAACGCACTTGAATTTTGTTTCAATATTTTCTTCGAAAAAACTTTATCATCGATTGTTCTCTCCAGATGTTCTTCTCGGCGAGAAGAAAGCTGTAGTAGATAGCAATGTTGAGACGTGGATAATAAACAATTTTCGTTTTCCAGTAAGTTTAAAGTGAAATTACCACAGCTGTAAACAATTCGAAGCGTGGCAAGATAGTTCGGAGAGATGTGGTATCAAGCATCATTTACATAGTAAGTTCCTATTTTCTACTTGCGATAGCAATGCAGAAAATTGGGCTTTTTGCCATCGTAGTACAGTCGCGAAGTGATACAACTTTCTCTTGACCAGAGTAAGATATTTTTCGTCTCTTCACAGACGTGGGACAAATAAAAAATTCTGAGACCCCATAAGGAATCGAACCTCAAACCTTCGGATTCCGCGCTCCGATGCTCTACCACCGAGTCACAGGAACTCATGGTGAGCGAGGTCCACTACTAAAAAGTTCATACATGACACGCGTCCTGCAGCTGCATACTGCTAGGATCAGCGATGTCGATAGCGTCATGTTTACAAATAGGATAAGGAAGATGGTAAATTTTGAGCTCGGTAAAGAAATAGAGAAATATGTCTTTCGGTCTTCTTGTCACGAGCTCATTAAAACTAAAAAAAATGTGAGTCCCCATGAGGAATCAAACCTCACACACCTCTCGTCTAGTTGATACGAGAGGTAAAGAGATGTCACTTCCTCTTTAATTCATATGATATGACAAGGAACTGTACTGAAAATCTAGAATTTTTTAAATCTTTTATACTAAAGGCGCGGAAACAGTGAAGGAGACTTGAAAAAGATGGTAGACCAACCTTAGTATGACCTTGTGTTGTAAGTGAATACTCAAACCATGCATGACCGTAGTATTAACGGTGTCAACATGGAAAATTTTTACCAGACCAGGATTTCGGCAAAAATTCGGGAATTAAATCACCGACGTGGAAAAATTTGGCGCGAAAGGGGGACATGAAACCATGTTATCGACCACGGCTGAAAATTGCTGAAAGTAGTTAAACACAATCTGTAATTTTTTTTTTTTTTTTTTTAACCAGGCTTAGGTAGTTTTTTTTAAAAGTTATTTTTATGCAGTAAATCTCCCATGTATAACATTGGAATAGGTAACTTAATTCATGCTACAGTGACTTCTACAATTATGCAGATTTCCATCCAAAGACCTGAAATGTATCAGCTAGTAACTTTGACGAAGAAAGCCATAATAATTTCACGCCCAAATAAAATGTTCCTTATTGGGTTTTTTTCGAAAGAAGTATTTGATAGTTAAACCACGCTTGGAGTTCCAAATTTGGAAACGGAAATGAGCATTCGTGATAATTTCTGGAGCTGTGGTTTATTTTGTCCTATTTTCAGATAAACAGAAATCTGCTGTTGTTATTATCAAAGTCACGTACAGACATTAGATTCCCGTTGACCTCCTGAACCGAAGTTTTTTTCCACATGGAAAACAACGAGAGCAAATATGTTTTACTTTTTGTTAGCAGAAACAAATCTTATCGAAAAAGGGTCAAGTCTCGGACAAAACCAATTTCAAGTTATGCTTTAAGTTGTTTTTCGAAATGAGTGACTTTGCAGCTTAAAAGATATTTCACATTCCGGTGGATATAAATAAATATTTGTATCTCGAGGGTTATTAAGGACTCACCGGGTGATAACGAACCGCATCTTACTGATCTGTCAGATCATATCTCCAATAGAACTTTAATTGTTTTTTTTTTTCCCTATTTTTCAATGTCGTTTGAGTGTGAACCATTGAATAGTGCGTGGAGAAACGCACATTGAAACAATCGTCTTTGTCAGGAAGAGGCTTAGAACGCTGAGTTTTTCATCGAATAAAATTGAACCTGTAAAATTTATGTGTAACGGTTCCCTTCTCTGCGCAGTTTTATTCAATCGTGACAGATTTCCTTTTCAGTGACATCTAAATAATACTTTCACTAATGAACTTTTACAGACGTGAATGAATTTGAGAAAAAAAATTTCTGGTCAATTGAACAAGTCAAACTGTAGTCACGTACCTGCTGTAACGTCAAGAGAGGGAATGGTAAGGAAGGGGAATGATGTGGGATTACTCCCTAAGTATAAATTCGGCGACATTGGTTCTTGCAAATCTCGATTTTCAATAACGCTTCGTTGCTGAAAATGGCTTTTTAATGATTATACAAAAACTAATTCCGGTGTGGTTCCGCCAAAAAACAGGAGTATTATCTTGAAAGACTTCCTCATCAAAACAGTTTCACGATCCATGGCTTAATAGCTGTGTTGCAACTGTTCGCAAACGATACAACCTAATCCTGTTATTTCTTGAAATCGGTTCATTAAAGCGAAATACCAAACGTCTAAAATTCCGTGTATAGTTTCTACTCCCTTGTTTATCTTGACCCTTTAACTCCCAAGAGTGACCAAGACAGAATTTCTCCTCACAATATCAATACAATATCAAGCAGGCAAGAGACGAGAATAAAGAAGAATATCATTTAGGGGGATTATTAGTTGATCTAATACCAAATTCTCCGAACTAACATCATAAGAATTGTATGGCAAAAAGTAGCGAGAATTACTGAAGAGATCTTGAGAGCGAAAGGGTTAAGGTCATACTAAAGAACAAGCCCCTTCAAATCTCTCTCCAATCAGGGACCGCCGCACATGTGTGCTACTTTCAATCCACAAAGCTAGCTTAAATTGCAGTGAATTTTACAAAGGTGAACCAAAAGGAGATCTTCACAACTAGAAAACTGAACCGTTCTGAGGGGGCATGGAAAAGTTTTCAATGCCCCTCTGTAAACAAATTAGATTCCCATTGGAATTTTTCGTCGTATACCATGTCTGAAGTCCGTACTTCCATCTTTAATCCCTAACAGTTGAGCCTCTGTCTATAGTCATCTCTGAAAAGCAGTTAAGCTTTCCAAAGATCTCAGATGATAAATTAATTTTACTGCCGGCAAAACGCCGCCGTTTGCTTAGTCCGAGTTAGTCCCGTTGTTTTTGGTCGACGGGGGCACCACTGCATTCCGAGTTTATCTGAATGCAGTTCGACCCTGGAATAACTTCATGGCTAAAAAAATACTCATAGTTAATCCGACAAGTGAGAATAAGAGAGATGTTTACCGTTTGTCTCAAGCATGGGAATAACATCGGAGTCTCCATGAGAAATGGATCCAGAGTCAGATCGTTAGGCGGAGAAGGAGAAATAAAAATGTAAAATCATCCTTAAGTCAAGAAGCAACTGTTGAAAGTTGGAGAGAGTGATGTTTTATTGTCAATCAAAATCTTGTTAAGGAACTGGTGGAAAAACTTGACTGCCCGTGAGCTGATCTGTTAATGTAAACATTTAGGATTTTGGAATCTCTGAGAATCACCAATGGTTTGATTATTTGAAACTGACAAAAAACAATGACAAAAATTGAAATAGCGCCTCTTTCTTGCGTTTTCTTGTGCTTTATAGCTACTTATCGGAATCAACTCTTAAATACTCTCTGGTTTATCTGTAAGCCTATCAGGAACAGAGGATTATCACTGAAAAGACGAATTTTTCAAAACGCCCGATTTCAAGGTGCATTCTTTCGACAGAACTTTTGCCAGGTCAGCAAGAGGTAGGCTTTCAACTAACTCGTAGTGGCGATTGTTTTTATTAAATTTTAACAAACTCAGTGTGAAAAATTTTCGAATGTGATTGGGTAACAGAAACCTTCTTTGTAAGCATTTGCCTGCTACCAGTACATGTCATTTCGCCAGGTCATATAAAAAGTCTTAATAGCATAGACATTAATGGGCACCATGCATTTGCGAGTGCTGCCATATAGAATACTGGGTTTATTTTCTCGTAAAATCCTCCAAGAAGGCTCCTAGAAACTTTTCACCAAATGATCATTTTGTTTATCAGCCTTTATACAAATAAACAGGACTTTTGACTGTGCTTTGTAGCCGGTCAAATTCTGTCTGCGGAGTGTTAATACTTTTCGCGTTTGCAAATCCAGCTCAGACGAATTTTGTTCTTCTGTTAAATTATGCAAACCTACGTGTTTACCTGACTTAAAATCGTGGGTAATTCGTGTGGAAAAACTAAAGGGGAGATCTTACAAATCAGACTGCAATTAAATATAAGTTCTGGCGGTGAGAACGAAAATTACAGAAAAGGCATTGATAAACTAAGGATGAACAAGAGTGGCCAAGGATGAAGGAAATTGAAATCGTATAAATGACTACTAAAGACTACGAAACACTTGTTCGGTAAGGAGGAATAACACAAAGAAGAAAGCAATAAACTAGGGAGGAACAGGGACGGCAAAAGATGGGGGAGACCAAATTAGTGCAAACGACTGTAAAATATGTGTCCGCTAAGATAGGAAATCATTAAAGAGGCAATGATAAACCAAGACAGAATAACGATGACAGGGGATGGTGAAGATTGGAAACGAAGTTGAATTATGACGTGGCTCACTTTTGACCATCGCGACAGCCATACTCATTTCCTGAGTTTAACGTGTTTGGTTATCAAATATGAACAAACTGACAGTGCCACTGACTTACCAAAAGTTTAGATCAGTAATCTTTCCGCCTTGTCCGTGGTACAGTTCTGAAGTGAATCAATTAATTCCCCGCACTTGATCTTGAGTTAAAACTAGTCTTTCACTCTTATAGTTAATTTTGTGTCTGCACAGCTGTGTAGAGTTGTTTCCTACGCAGAGTAATTTTTCCCACTTTGGCAAATGACTCGCTCGCGTCACCGTTTTATCGATTTTACGCCATTTGCGGTCGTTGAGTATTTCAAACATTTCCCAAATGCATCTCCTCACGTATCTTCACAGACGAATGCTGAACAGCCGTGGGGGTTTTCCGTCTTGAAACAGTGGACGTGACAAGTTGTTATGTCTTCTGAAAACCATCAACAATCCATCATCCAATTAAACTTTATTTTCAACATTTTCAACCGTTTAAGTAGTCATAGAAGGCAAAGGCAACAAACAGAGCAACGGAACTGCCTCCCTAAAAAGCAAAACCACCACACATTATGGTGTACATGATATTTCTAACTCGTGTTGAACACGGAGAATCATCGATCGTTCAATTCGATGTGAATGAAAAAAATTGTAAGAAATTTTATGAAATTTCCGATACTCTGAATTTTCTTGCCGTGTTATTCTTAATTCAACCAGTAACCTTTTTCGAGCGAGCAATGATGCATCAGTTTTCTGTTAATTTTGCGGTATTCCACTAGAGTACGCTTGATTTGCTACACTGATGACAAAGCAATTATTACTTATTAAAATGGTGGGATTTTGTTGCAAAAGAGAAATTGAAGATCTATTCTGTTTGTCGGACGCTTCGGAAAATGATAGGAAATAACCAACTTTGCTTTCTGTTGAAGTCAGATTGACGTCAGAACATTGGTAATAACTTGATAACCTCAGGTGTTTTCAAGCCTATCGAACGCAAACAATGTGATGTTTTTTATAACAAGTCCGGCTTTTAACCTTGAGTATTAATACGCTGCTGGTTGCAGCTGTTACTATCATTTGTTTGCCTTTGAATACCGTAAAATATGTTTTTCAAAGCTGGAGCATTAGATATATATGAGTGGAAAACAGGAAAACTTAAAAGATATTTCAAATTCTCTTAATTCTTCCCGCCAAATAAGCAAACATGTTTACATACAAGTGTGCATTAGCCCTCTCAGTTATGTCGTTATCTGTCTAAGGTCTGTCTGGGGTACTTCAGGATGTCTGGTTCTCATATCTGACACATTTCCTATAGGCGATGGAGTCTTTCACAGACATAAATTAACGATTTTATTAATTGAAGAAGTGGCAACGGTATCAGCTGAAACTATACAAATAACTCGTGTTTTAAACATCTTTGACATTCCTGATTAGGGTTCCTTTTTGTCTGTTATTTCAACCAACCGGAATGCAATTATCTTAAGACCCACTGAAACAGGTACCGTATAATTTGTGGTAATTATTTCAGTCTTTTGCTTTCGCTTCTTTTGAGATGAAAAAAAAAGGAATGTAAGGCGACCCTTTCAAGGTATACGAAGATCATAAAGAGGAAAGTATTCCTATTTTCCCTGAGAAATTCCAACTGCGACCAATTTTGCTCAAATGGCACAACCCAGTTAGGTGTCTGCGAATGATTTGCCCATCCGTCTCTTTTCTACTTCTTTCAGAGGCTCTCAGACGTTCCCATACGTCATACATTTTTAATTTGCGTGTGATGGTATCCAACGTTTATCAACAGCTCGATATTCTGGCATGATTTAAATTTGGATACACAACTTGGCAAACCTCAGCTTTTTGTTCAGAAATGAAAGCATGTAAAAATTGCCTAAGCTCGATAATTGCACTTTTGACGTCATGATTCAAGCTGAGTCGAAATTGGTTAAAATTAATCACTTCCTATACCTATTTGTCGCTAAAATGACAGCTCTCTCTTGTGGTGGTTGAAAAGCGTAGAAAAAAACCACAAAGGTATTTCAAGCTGATAGAACGAAACGCATCATCCAGAACCAGAAGTAGACACACATGACTCAGCTTCTTACCGTTTTTTTCAAATTATGTCATTGCACCTGACTTTTAATTTGTGGGACACCTGAATTTTGGTTGGGTAACTTTAAAAAAATGGAAAAACGGGTAGTAATAAATCAAGTAAGAACAAGATTGATTAGAAATGAAGAAGAATAAGTTGCTTGTTGTGAATGGTAAACTTGAGAAACTAGGTGGATTTTTTTTAGGGATAAACAAACACCCAAGCTAAAAAACCCCTTCGTAGCAAAGAAAGTATTTTGAAAGTCTCTTCTCGTTTTGTGTCATAACTGATAACTTGAAGTATGCGGGATGTTTATGGTCCAGTATAATCGTCTTGGGCAATGTTATTATTCTAGCTGAAGGTGACATGCGTGGCAGGGCTAATTTGCTAAGCGAGAGAAGCAAGAGTTATGCAAAGGTATAGGGCTCAAGGAAGCAGAAATGTTCGGTCTCCCGCTTAGCTCACGCTACGCCTGCTCGGCTAGAAGGAAAAGGAAAAGGCCGCTAACTTTTAATTCAAATTGGTTATGGCCAATTGAAGCAAGAGCCGGTGTTTAAAGGATTTTCCTTTTGCATGTACAAAATGTTCACCGTACTTTGAAGTCTACTGACTTTCGTTAAAAGAAATTAACTACTGTTTGGAATCGCAGACTGTAAGTCGCGTTGTCACTCTTCGTCAAGTTCGAGAAGCATTCATCAAGTGGTAGATTTATTTTTTAAACCGCATGGTTGGAAAACATCACTACACAAACATTCCGGAATCTTTATTCCTCTTAAGTCTACCAGGCATAACAAACCACAACCTTGAAAGAACTTCGTAATTGCTTTGTTCGTTCTCAGAATTAATCTCTGCGGGAGGCAACTAAGAAGAATTAATGAATTTATGTGGTATATCAAGGAAGATGATTCAAATTGTTTCAATAAGAGGTTTGTCCGCCTCTTCAATTTTTGGTTGTGAACACGTTTTATCACTTTAGTCTTAATTTTTGTTCGTTATTTTCTTTTTTTTTTTATTCAAAGGAGTGAAAGTCTTTAATATTTATTTTACCTGTCTGTTTAAACTATTTAAGTGATTCCCAACATCTAATAAATAATTTACCAAAGTGCCGCTAACGCCGTGTGACGACCGAATCCTAAGAACGCTCGAGGCAATTCCGATAACTCGCTCGGTTCTTATCTGTCCACAAGCACTGTGACAACAGCTCAACACCGTTAGTTTAGCTTGCAGCCAAAATTTTCGTAATATCCGCCATCATCGAAAGGTAATCTTCCTCTCATGGAAAAGATGGGGAAGGGTGCTTAGAAGAAAGAGCAATCCCCCCTCTTTTGGTATCACTATGGGCAGCAATTAGTATCAGGCTCGCTGCATTTATCACTAGAAGTACAGCATACTTTGTCGCGGGACCTCCAATCAAAGGTGTTGGGCCAAGAAGTCTTGCAATCATCTCTGCTTCCGGCCTCTTTGCACACGGCAATGGCGTTATGTTTCTGCGCCTTCCTTGGCTTGTAAATCAACTCTCCAATCTCAGGGTCAGCCACTATTAGTGCCCCAGTCTGACTGTGATAGCCTGGATGACTGCCCTGAACAAGCTTGAGAGTTGCCAAAGAGGGAACGATTCGTATCTTGAATAGGGACCTTAAGCAGTCAGGACGGGAACGCCAAGGAGGACTTCGATTAAAAAATGAATTTCTGTCTTTAATTAGAATTTCAAAAATGGCTGCATTTGTTTACCGTCTCTAACTGCGCCACACCTCAACTTCAGCATAACGTATAAAAGAAACGTTGAGTTCCAAATGAAAATTAAAATAATTTGCCGTCGCGTTTTCGGTTCGCAGACGACGCAAATTGTGGTAATTTCACGTCGTTTTTTTGCATAGGACGGCTACGAAATGTACAAAGAATTAAAACGCACATGCTGAGCTATTGTTTTGTCAATTAGATATTTTTTTTTTCCATGTCTTCGTTGCCTTTGTCGTCGTGGTTTGCTTAAGGTCCCTCAGTAATGTCTCCGATAAAACTTGCCTTCTTCGTCAGCCAAGGCTGCAAATGGCACTTGGTATACAGAGGAATCAAGGACAATAATGATCTCTTGCTCTGGTAACACAAGTGAAGATTTGTTTTGAAATCTTCGGCATCATAGTCACGAAAAACGGTACGGTTGACGCGGGGACATCAGCCGGTGTCATCTTGAGATCGATCTTCGCAATTCTGTTCGGGTAAAATTATAGGCTGCCGAAGCTCTCCTTGAAAAACTCATCTTAATCAAGGACTAATCGATCGAGTTACCTGGTTTTTGTCCAGACTTACTTTCTTTTTGGAAAAATGAATTGCTCCCGTTGCTCTGAGAATTCAAAAACGTACATCATTTTTACCAACCGAAATGTACAGGCACGCACAGTATGCCTCTCTTGTGATAATCTCTTGAATGCCATACCAAGCCTGAGATTTGCTCCGAACACAACCCGGTACCGAGCTGCCATCAAGTCGGTTAGGCCTTTTGCTTTCCTCTGCTCTTCGACGCAAAGGGCGTCTTGAGACTTTCCATTGGAAGAAAGCAACCAATTGAACAACTTGTAAGGAAAACTGTCGTGCTCTGATCACTGTCTTAAGAAAACCTCGCAGTGTCCAATTTTTCGATGCTTTTAAAAAGATATGAATGAAATTGTGACACCTTTAACACCGATAGACTACAAAGGCATTGAAACTCTCTCAAGTTGTGTCCAATATCCCTGCTTAATAGGAGAGAATGCTTAAGGTATTCTTCGGCCATGTCATAGTTACTATAGAGATTGGAAGCACATGCAATCCTAAATTTACGTAGTAGCCTTAAAGTATTAAAAATTACCTATTTATTTAGTCCGCTCATCGTTGGCCAATTCATAAAGGATTTCTATTGGAAAACCGCAGGATTGTCTTTCATTTGTTGAGCGTTACTCTGATATATGCACCGAGCGCCTTTTCACGGACAACTCACTTGGCGTGGAAACTGTCAAAAACTACACGACATCAGACAATACGGAAATGTTTTCCATCGTTAGATACGAATGAATGGGCAACCGGTAGCCTTATGAACCAAGTGAGGAAAACGAATGAACTCGCCCTAAGACAACTAGAGAGTAATCAAGGAAGTAAATTAATTTGTTTGTGTTCGTCTTAAATTGTGCTCTCCTCATGTCCGTGTGCGCCTGCGGTTTTGAGAATCGGCGGCTGTTAGTCACTTGTTGTCATAACAACATCACAAGTGGGGCAAACACAAGTAACTTCACTACAGGAAAAGTTGACTTCTTGGTGGGCAAGAAATTACAAATAATGGCTACAAACGACGGTCTGTACCCTGGATATTCGTGAAAAAAAAATGTTTCTTTTGCTCATATATGTCTAACAAAGCTAAATTTTCCTTTCTTAGCTCGAAGAGCAGTTGCTTTTGGAACGACTCTTGATCGGGAACTGTTACCACTGAAAGTTCCAGCAAATCGCTTTGGAAATGAACTCGCCTTACGAGGCGCTCCAAACCGCGGCCCTGGATGTTATTACAATGCGGAGGTAGTTGAAAAAAATTTTGTTTCTTGGTCAGTTTTCAATTAGTCTTAAAACAGCTGATCTTGTAGGGAAAGTAAGCGGTAGCATGAGTGCGTGACTGCGATGTACATGTGCCTGTCAGTGAGTATATTATAGTGAAGTGGATGTCTTACACTGTAGTCACTCCTGGTGTAGATATTAGCGATTTGATTGCGTCGTATTCATCTTGAAATTCATAACGACCAGCAGTATGGTATGCCTGATGAATACTTGTGGAATACGGTCGAAACTTTGCGATATACCCCAGACCAAAATGGCAACGTAGTCAACATAGCTGGATTTCTATGTTACTTCACCTTGATTAACAACCTCAGTGGTTACGCAGTGTGTTTATATACTGTAAAACCCTTCGTAGCGATAGCTTGTTACCGATTCCGTAACAGGTCGTTTCTTTAAAAAACCATGGTGATGACGAAAGTATTCATGTTTTGAAATCAAGACAATTTGTGTTCGAAAGATAATTTCCTAATTGTTTCTTCTTGCCGGTCAGGGTAGTGGCTTTATTTATGAACTTGAGAGAAGACCTGTATGCAGAAGAGGGTATTCAGTTGGAGCCAGAACCGCCCCAAGATTTCCTAAACCAGCTCATGTAAGTTCAAGTTTGAGACGTTCAAAATCAAGAGAGAATAGGAAACTTATCTGCCATAGTTGTTTATTCATCGAAGTTTCATGTCTTTGTTTTTTAATTTTATAAGTCAGAAAGGCTAAATGCACAAATCTTCCATGACAATTTTTTTCTCCAAAAGGTAACCATAAGGTTGCTTACAATAAGGGTAATCATAATGACTGTGAAATTTTGCTGAATGTTGAGGACATCAGGTTTTCAAAACTTAACTATCATTGTCAATCAATGCTACCTTTAGCTGTTGTCATTGTCATTGTCAAATTTCAAAATGTGGTTTCAAGTTTTTGATGAATGACATCCATGAGCACTGTAGCTTATAATATGATTCCTTATCCCTGTTTGCAGCTGGATGTTCCTGGACCACCAACTTATCAAGAGATTATCAGCAAACCAGTTCACTTTGAAGAAGCTTTTAAAGCATTTAACGTTGGTGCAACAAGATTCCCACCAATTAACCAGGTGATGCTCTTCATAGATACAGTTGGACCAGTATTAAGGGGCACTGCATTTAGTAGTCCCCAAATTTTCCCTCTTAAGCACTGTAATTTTCCCCTCTGTTAAGCAGTCACCTCTATGAAGTGGACATGGTCACCCTTGACTGAACCCCAAAAACCTGTTTGTGTTGTCTTCCACCTGTATTGAATGATCACTTAAAGTGGAACCACTAAAATAAAACAATAAAACAATAATCTCAAATGAAGTTTATTCCATTATTTCTTGGAATAAGTGTCAGTACTTTGATTTCAAATGTCCTCATGACCCATTGCAGGCTTAATCTTTCTTCTTTGGACCATTAGGACAAATAACGCAAGTAATTGGCTGATTAACCTGTACTAAGAAGTTGACATGTATTTAGTCGCCCAGCCATTGCCTGTACATGTAGGTGACTGCTAAATACAGGCTTGACTGTATAAAGTTTTCTCACAAGCCCCTACTTTATTGTAGGAAGTTGCATGGAAATCAGAGAGTCAGAGTGGGAGAGATAAGGCTTTCATTTGCTCTGAAAGTTTTTTTTTCAATCAATCCCTGAGAGTGGACTTCCACTATCAGGGATTCCACTATCAGGAAAAAGAGAAACATTTGCAGATGGAATGTCTTAATTGATCCCCAAAGCAAAACCTATGAAAACTGCTGGTATTTTTGTTTCTGTTGCTGATGTTACTCGCTGCAGATTTAACAACCAGTCTCAGCTCAAAAAGTATGGAATTTCATGGGTATGGTCTTGGATCCTAATTTGCTCAGAAATTGGCTTGTTCTATTTTTATCCTTACACAGAACACAACTTATGCATGCAAGTTCCTTTGTAAATGTTTTCAAGACCTCTAAATAATATCAGTATGTTTTATCTCTTTTGCAGGACCATGGCCATCCAGGGTGGGTAAAATTTTTCTTTTTAAAATGCTTTTCTCTTTTGGATGATGTAGTTTGCTACTTTAGTCAGATGATGACTTAATTTAAGTGGGGTGTCAGAGATACCACGTTTAGTCTGGTTTGTAGATTGCTTGTGAAACATTTTGGACAATTATGTGCTGACAGTAGTCATTTAGTACCTAAATCATGTGAGGACAATTAAGCTCCTAAACAGTTGAAGGTTTTATTTTTAATGTGCTCTGAGGTGCTGGATGTTTTGCTTCTCATGACAGTTTCAATGCATTATATCCTGCATACAGGTTGTACAATCTGATACCCAGTGATGTTCATGTACTAGATTTGGGTGTGTGATTACAACTCTCAAGAGAAAAAGCATGCATACTCATCAGGGGCAGATTGAGTGTTATATTTCAATTCAGCCCAAAAATTTCTCATAGGCCAATATACAAATTAAAGAAGTAGACAAGAGCTAGATGGGAGAATTGCTTGAAAATATGACATCTTGGAAGTCAAACATAAAAAAAAAGTCAAACAAACAAAGCAAAGTGTGGCTGAAGGTCTGAGCATTGGCATTGTTTTGTAACATGATTTTCAATATTTTCAACTCAGGCCTGGTGCATATGAGTTTGACGCCAAAAGAGACAGGAAGGTGAAGTATCATGGCTCTTTTGGTGGACCACAGACCTTGATAACATCAGTTACAATTAAATGCAATGAATTTGGAGAGCCAGATATTGTAAGTATCCCAGACAACTTCCTATTGATTGATAGGTTATTAAAGTTCAGACAAAGATTGTTGTTCTTTTTGACCGAACTTCTAAGAATTTTGCTTGTGGAGTTTTCTAACATTGAGCCTTTGACCCCTAAGGGTTAAAAGCATCTAATTACAATATCACCCCTGAATCACACATTAAGGTGACAAGAATAAAAGAAATGATCACCAACTAAAGAAGCTCTCTCTCTCCTTGTCAGAACCTTTGGAAATGTTTGGAGAACAGTATGGAAAATATACATACTGATGTCTGGGTGTAGAGTGTTTTAAAATAATTTTGTCGTAATTTAATTTTAAATTTCTTATCTGCTCATTAAGAATGTTTGTGGGTATGCTTTGTCATTGATTGCAACCATTTGCTTCATACAATTCTCATCATGACCAACTGTTTGTTCACAGTGTAATTCTTGTCAAAGTCCTCCAGTAGGAGATTACTATGAGTACAAAAAGGTTTATCTTTGTCGGAAATGTTACAATCATCACTTAACAACAGGAGAGAAGTACACAAGAAGGTATTTTATTGTAATTTAGGGGGTAATTTATTTATATCTAACAACACTGTGGTGCTGTGTCAGGGGGGTATAACATTTAAAGGTAATTTGGTTTTATCAATTGAGTCGATAATGTAAATTGGCCATCGTAGAGTGTTCCTAAAGCTGATGTTTCTGGGGTTAGCCCTTCACTAGAATGAATTAAGCCACAATCACACCACATACTTGTATTTTAATGACTTAATTTCTTTAATGAGGATTATTTTATTTTTGAAGTCATTTTTTTTTCTGATATTCAAAAGATAAATGATAATCTTGAAATACATCTTTTTTCCCATCTAGTTATCTTCAATCTTTTCGCAAAGTAAGAGACTGCTCAAACATTCATAACCACGAAGGAACAAATGCCAGATTAATGGTAAGCATTTGTAAACATCATTGGGATTTGTACATGAGACAGGGCAATAGAGTCACCAGCTTAAACCCGCAAGTTAAAGTTATGATAAAAAATATTTCCTTTTGAAAAAGTGTGCTCTTACATAGAAATGCGGTGCTGAAACTTTAAAGATGCTGTTTGGTGTGCTGTTTTCTGAAGTCTAATTTGTTGATATAAACCTTTTCTTTGACAGCTCAAAACCGAAAAAGACCTCAAGAAACAGAGATTTAGAGAAGCATATATGAGCTTGTACTTTTGAATACGGAACAGTAGGGATGCAGGAAAATTGCTAATGAGTGCGAGATGTATATTTTCTTACTGATACAAAGTAATGGAACACGATATGTCAGTCAATTCACCCGTGGACGTATGTAGTGTAAATATGTTTGATGTTGAGTGCTGTGGAAAGCATATATGGGCAATAACGGGCAAGAAAAAATTTTAGGGAAGAGTTATTTTTACCAGGTTAGTAAGCTAGGAGAAGTGTACCAGTAATAGAAACGTCAAAATACCCCTTTCAAATTATATTAAGTGCAATAAAGGATAAAATGAAAAGATTTCCACACGTATAATTGTGCCAATTTACCAATCAAAAATAACTTCTTGGGTAAGAAATGTCAGTTAATGGTATCAAAGTTTTGAAAACTAAACTTTTGTTGGTAAGACAAAAATTGATCTTGAATTTATCTGTCTGCGATAAACCCACTAAGAGTTACTAAAATGCGTTATTTCATATATCCATGGTCCGAAACTCGAACATTCTACTAATTACAAAAAGAAGAAAAATTTCCCCCATTGTTCAGTTAGTCGTTATAAAGCACATCTAAAGATTTATCCAAAAAGTTACGTGCTTGTCTCAGTGGACACGAGTAGTTCGATATGACGACGAGCACACACAAAGAAAATTTCCTTTCGAATTCAGTTACCATAACTCTTTGTTTAATTAAAAAGAAAATGTGCTTCCAAACGCTACTCCAATTTGACCTTGACATATTAACATTTTATTTCGTTTGAACTATAATATAAACAGGGAAGTTAATCTGTTAATTTTTTTAATATTGATTTTCCTCTTGTTTGGTTGAAAATTTTCTTAGTTCAAAGGTTCCTAATCTCTCTCTTCACCTGGTCCAACTCACGCGTTGTATTATAATAATGTTATATCATAAAAACGACTTTTTAGAATTTCATCTGCAGACAAATAAATGCTATGAATAAGCTCTTGAAAAGAAAGTGTTTTTTAATCAAGAAGGAAGTTTTCAAAATTTTGAATGTACATGCTGGTCTCAGTACTGCGCTGCCAATCCTTATTCTGTAAATACCTTGTAAAAATGCATTTCTAATTACTGAAATGATAATGTACGTGAAGAAGTATCAGCATGCTCTTTGGTTGAGAACACGTCGATCAATACCAAACAGAACCGAAAATTGAAACTGAATGAGAAAGTTGAAATCGAGTTCACAAGTTTCAAAAAGTTGAAAATTAATCGGTTGGCAGGTGAGTCGCGAAACCACAACAAACAAAATGGCGGACAGGAGTGAAGAAAGTAACAACGTCTTAATTCAGAGTTTGAGCATAGTCTCGAGGGAGAATGCTTAAAAAAAAAACCACCCAATAAAAGAAAAACAACTGGCCAAAAGTGTGGCTTCCAAAAACAGGTATGAAAGTATGAAGCCCTAAATAAAATTCTCGAGGAGTATTACGGAGGACTTTACGCAACAGTTAGGACGAAAGACGGCGGCCAGATTACCGTGCGTGATAGCTTTCGTATCATAGTTACTGCTGCCGACTGATACCTAACAGAGAAAGAATACAAACGCTCAGTTATTCTCGAGAGAGGTTTTGAAGTTTGAAGCAAATTCTTGACGAAAAAGCCTTACTACTCTGGCAACAAGGCAAAGGCAAGCGGCCGAACTGGTAAGCCATGACACAATATAAAGGCAACTTCAGAATCACTTTTTTGAATGGATATTATTAACTAGTAATGAATCTATTTTTCTCGTGCAATTCGGGATATATCAGCTATCGTACATTTTTCAAAGACTTAAAATTGCACTCACCCTACAGGCTCGTGAAGTTTGGTCAGCCTTGGAAAAAAAGTTACTCGCGCTGATTAATTCCAATTGCACTCGAAATCATGTGATAATTTCTCGATTGCCATGAAAGCAACTATTAGAGAATCCCAAACCAATAATTTTGTGGGAACGGCGTAAAATAATTTTCTCTGATAAACGGTGTAGTAATTTCAGCGCAGATGATTCTAAGTAACCGATTCCTATAGCAGTTTTCAGCCACTTAAGTCAATAAAAGATATTCGATTTGTATGGTGTTGAGTGGGTATATTGTTCAACAATACAATATCAATCACGTTACATTAATTGGAGAACAATGTCTAACAGGATATACAATAAGGGGTGCGTTTTTAGAGAGGTGTTGATACAATCTTTTTCTAATTGCAGATCATCGCAGAAAAATTTTTTGAAAGGTTGTTTTTTCTCGACAAATTTTAAGCTCATCATGCATTGAGTGTTTTGCTTTTCCTTCGTCTGCCTTGTGTTTCAGTTATGAATAAATTCTTAATAAATGTTGCATGTTATTTTTTTACCATAACGATTGAGATGCGTTCGTGGGTCACCTTATATAGTGTTTCGTTGCCTTTTACAATAAGTGACAATTTCAAGCGTTGAATCTTACGAAAATATCAACCTTTATTATGGTTGTCTTTCTAAGTCAAGAATATTCCTCTCCACCAAAACTGTTCTCATGGCAGACCTAGCTCGCTCAAGGCAAAAGTAGAGATGGTTTGCTTTTAATTTTCGATGTAGTCTGCATGGATGATCACCAGCAAACTAACCCTTGATTAATTTTTTTAACAATAGACAGATGTTAAGTTTACGTTCAATGTTTAGATGATCAGGAGCTCTTAAATAAAAGTAAGGCACGAGGCTTATTTAGTTCTTCTTCAAGAGTTAACCTGGAGCTAGAAGAATCAACCAGCAAAGACTGAACAGCTCCACTGAAGTACCTGACAAAGCTACGTCTTTCTAAGTACTTCAGTTCTGTTTCTTTTGCGACATGCTATTGCTAGCTACAAGAAAAAGGTTTGGATACTTTTTCTTTTTTTACTTGATAAGCGTCCCGGATGTCTTAGAACACTGTTACTTTTGTGTAGATATATATTCCTTTGCTTTCATAAATAGGTTAACAGATTCGAGTGGGTTTTTTCGCCGAATGTCGTTTTGAATACAAATTCAGTCCTCTCAGTGCTCCTTAGTTTTTCATAGTCTCAAATTGTTGTAACTTTGTCAGGTTTGCCTTCTTTAACAGTTCACCTGCTAGTGTACTAATCTTTTCACCCGACTGAAGAGGTCACGACGAAAATTGTGTATTGTCCGAGAGCGCAGCGACACAGTTATTAACCTTTAAGTCTCAACCGCTCAATCGGAAGTCGTCTACAGGAGCAAAAAGCAAGTTAATGACACAAACAGCCAAGCCTATTTCCTCATACACCTTCCGCTAACCTGTTAGCTAACAGCTCAGGAGCCGCCCAACTGTTCTTTATGCTCTGGCCGAGTATTTTGCTTTCCAAGTCGGTGGTAAGTAAAGCTTTGAGCGAGTTAGGAAGTTGTTTGAGAAGCTATCGCGATTCAACTTAACACTCAAAGGGTTTAACATCTAATTGGTTGGTTGGGGTTTTTAAATCAATCACATAAAGGATAAAAATTACTGCTTTGAGTTTTCTCACGTTTAAAGCGTTCACGTTAGGAATGTTCGCTCGGAAAATATGTTATCCCTTAGGGGACTTTCGCCCAAAAATGTTGTTTTACTCATGTCAAATATTTTCTTTGTAAATCTAGATTTTTTTAGCTCCCAATGTCGTGCTGGGTCGTAAAAACAAAAACGCCGGCTTAGCAACTATATCACCAGCGCGACACGGTTAGATGTATTATGTCAGTGTTTGAATTCTAAGCAGGGGGGTTTTGTTGATATGACGTCAATTCCTGAAAAGAGCCTCGGGCAAATTTTTTTTCAACAAAAGCTCGAACTTAACGGCTCATTTTGCGCAATAATTATTGGCTCTTGTAGGGTAAGCATCTCACCTGCGTTGGAAACTTCTTTCGCAAATTTTGGGGTACAATTTATGACCGACTCATGATGGATGTAGTTTCTGCAGTTACCTGTACAAAGACTCTGTAAGTTAGAACTTCCATGGTATGTACACATCTTTAACTTTGAAGCTAGCTCGCCCAGAAAGGAGAAACAGGATTCAGAAATTAGAAAAGAGCCAAAGAAGTAAAGAAATGTTTCCCAGATACACAGCAGCAGGTATGTTCGAGAATTGGTTATAGCTAATAAGAAAATAAGAACGCACTTATATCATGTCATTTATAATGAATGCACAAGTTCACAGACATTGCATGCCTTTCCCTGATCAGTCGAGCGGAAATCAATGATATGGTTTTTAAACTAAGGTGTAAAAATTAGCTGGACATGCAAAATAATTTCTCCCTCATCTAATATCTTTTCATCACTCGTATATATTCTGAAATTCAGTAAATAAGAAAAATTATTTCGGTTCCTGAATATTCGCTTACGTTTCTTGAAAACTGGACAATAAACCAAACCCTAAATTATTTCTAACCATTGGATCGAAACATCAATTTTACCAGCTCGTCTAATAAAGTACGGTAGTCGGTTTTTATTGTATCACCGAGTTTAAGCAATTTAAAGAAGCGTAATCATGTTTATTATATTTGAATAGAAGGCCATACAATTTTGCAGTTTTATAGCAACAATTATACTACAATGCCACTTCAGTACCATGGTTATAAATTAAGCTAAGCAGAACGTTAGACGCCTGTTTACTTCGTTGCATGGCGAGATAAATAGACGAATATTCTGGAAACATATTCTTTTGTTTTTTCGGTCTGGTACATTGTCTGAAACACGGTGATAGGGAAATTTCGTTAGCTTCCCGCTATAAGTTAGCGTACATAGATAATGTTTGTTACGAAACCCTTCAAAACTCTTCTTGAGGAGCTTAGTGATAATAAACATCTCAATTTCAAAAATTAGGTATTTCTAATTTCCGTTTTATGCCTGAGAGACTATTGGAATTGCAATGCCATCTTCGAAATTATATCCAAATTTTTGGATCACTGGATGCCGGTACCTAGAGCGCGTAATCTTTGAGAAATGTGCTGGTATTAAAAGCAGTGCTAGGCCACGAAATGTACCAAAGGATCTACAAACACAGCAAAATACTCGCAAGTCTTTCTGGACTGAAGAGACCAAAACATAATTATTATTTACAATAACAAACGATTTCAAGGAGACAGATACTGAGAAGGAAGAAAAGCATCATCAAGAAGATAATGATTGACTTTAAATAAAATTATTACGACTGAAATCTTTAGAATTGTATGACATATTGTGGGGAAAACTGTTATCAAGATTTTGGAAGCGGAGGAAGTTACTCAGTTACCAACGGAATGATATATTCTCTCGCTGTTACTTAGTTGAAAATTGCGCTAATGCAAAAACATGCATATTGAAGTTGAAATCGTCTTGACTAGAACCAAGAAAACTTCGGAAATAAAAAAGATTATCAAAATGACGATATCTGGGAACGAGAGGACAAATACTATAAGGAAATGCATTTAAGGTTTACTA